CAATGAAGCCATTGAGTAACGCCAGCTGTGTATTGCGGGAGTGGTTACATATCCACTCAATCAGGCCATCTTTGCCTCGAGACTTTAAATAGTCTTGGGCAAGTCCCTTGACCAAGCCAGTGGCACCTGCACCACCATTCCTAAATGAATGACAATTGTCAGTAATTTGTCAGACAAAGGTTCAGATGGATACCTAGGTAGCTGAACGAGGAGGAGGGGGGAAGAAATCGCTGTCCGACCAAAGTCTGACATACCCGATTCGAAGCAATACCTCTCCAGCTTTGCCATATTGTTCAAGAGGGTTTGCATCAATCTCTCCGTGCGAGACAATGGCAGTTGGGCGTGATAATGCCATGACGTCAGTTCAAAAAAGAAATTGGTCAATGTTGCATTGATTTTCGACAGGGCCAGTCGTTTGGGCGGCAATAAAGTCACTGTGATTATTAAAGATGTTTTGCGATAGTTTATCGTTTCATGAAAATGAGCTACCAGGCATTCTCGCCGATTGAGTTGGCCATTATGACGGTAAATGAAGTGAGAGAATGCCGTATTCCTTAGTAGCCTATAGCCTGGCCTCGCCTCGCCTTAGTAATTAAATTCGTGACCCCAAGAACTTCCCCGCATAGTAACCTCGGGCAATTGCCGTGACGGCAATTGACGGCAATTGAGTCAAGACTTGTGGCCAAGAGCTTAAATTAATAGAGAGAACTTGGAACTATCTATTGGTTTTTACTCTGCCTCTGGCTTTGGCTTATTTAACCTATACATCAAACCGATTGCTCTTTGAAGCCAGCCAGTACCTATGCGATGATTGTTTACTATTGTATAGTATGGAGTCTGTATATATTGTTGAGAATGCGCGAGTAGGGATCTGTTGCGCATATGGACGTGGCTTTAATGTTGAAATGTATATATATTAGCCTATGATGTATAGATACTTATTTTAGAGTCCTCTAAACTTTTGGCAAAACATAAGCAACATTTATCTTCTCGAGGTCCTTAAATTTACTTACCCTACATACTAAGCGCCCAAAACCAGTTTATAATTAGCACTTCTCCACTACAACCCCTGTGCAGCATCACAAACCCATCGTAATTGGACAGTGTCGCCCCTTTTTCGCGCGTCAGTCAGATTCTCCAGCCATCGCGTTATGGGAACTGACGCTGGGCATCAAGAAAAACCCAAGTCCTGGAGACCTCACAAGCACCTTGATCGGACTATTCTCGATAAGACACAAGACACAAAATATATCACTTGAAATGTCCTCAACAGCTGTACCAGACCCAAGCTCTGGTGGAAGCAGTGACGACAACACGGAGCTCATTATTGCCGTGGTTGCGCTGGTCATCTCCGTCTTGGCCTTTGTCATTGCCATTCTGCAGGCCCTGCAGCAGTATCTCGCCACAGCTACCGGTTTCTCGTCATGCAGTGAGGCTGTCATAGGAAAATGGGCTCAATTTGCTCGGCGCCGGATGATCTGGTCCGAGTTCCGTTTCGAGGTCCAGTTTGAGGCTCCAGTCATTTTCGTCGCCAAGCCCGGCAACACCAGGGGACCACTGGGTGATGATGCCCTGGCCAAGGACGAAAGCAAAAAGATCATTCGCCTCGATGGCGGAAACGAAAATTTCAAGTACACAGACACTGTCAAAGAATTCGACAACGAGTACAAGCAGAGCACGCAGCGCATCATTCATACGGCTGATAACGAAAAGGCTACCTGGTATGGCTTGCTCATGGCTATTGTCAGGATGGAGAAAGAATCTCGCGAGTGGCAAGGCAAGAAGTCAGCCGAGTGGGTTAAAGCGGCTGGTCCACGCCCACCAATCGATACTGAAGAGCCTCATGCTCATCACTCGCTAGTTGTCTGCATGCAGAGAAAGAGGCGTACGTGGGATAGCATGCCCAAAGACTTTGCTAAACCTTATGCCACAACTACAATATCGCATCTTGTTGAGATTGCAGGAATGCTGGGCATTCATTGGAGGAAATTTGATCTCAATACCGACCAGTATCGCGGTCAGGGCAACGGGTTTGTTCTATATGGCTCATACACGGACGGTCTTGGTATCACCTTCAACTTTCAGAAGCAAGGACCAACCTGGTTCGAGAAGAACCGGGTGATCCCCAACTACAATGTCAAACAGCTATGCTTCGGCATGGCTCCGACCATCTTCAACCAGGAGAAGAAGGTCTATGCTGACGAGGCCAAGGGAGCTGAGAGCCTTCAATTGGGAAGTCTGGCTGAGATTGCGAAGACGCTTGTGGTGCTTGGGTGTGATATCAACACAGTCAACTACTTCCGAAAGCCTGACCAAGCACGCCACACTCACCTGTTTGCGGGTAAGTTGCCCTTTATCGGGTTGATCGAAGATAAAGCTGACCTTGAATAGTTCCATTCGAGATCCTCGGCATGGTCGGAGAAATGCTTCATTTGAAGGGCACCATCTTCCGTATGCTTCCTAACCCGACCGTTTTCTACTGGGATCCCAGCTCCTTTTCTCTGTCAGCCCTCATGATGGAATACATCAACAGTTTGCGGCCTCTCCATGAAACAGCCTTGAAGGATAGTGAACAAGTAAGAAAAATACTCAAGTGGGCAGAAGCAGATGAAAGGTTTCCGCTCCTGCGAACAGAAGGATCCACGCTCGATGTTTTTGGCGAAGACATCAATGGTGCAAACCTGGTCAATCACCTCAACAATCTCCGATCTGGAGTCGAGTTATGTGATGAGTATTTTGGCAGGATGAAGAAACCTGGATTGTCCATGATTAAGAGAGTTGTGCGTATGCATATTCAAGAGGTCATGGGTATTCTACACGAGAAGAACGAAGCCGACGATAACACGAAGAACGACGACAATAATAAAGCTCTTGACGATGCACCAATCACCATTCACGACATTGATTCAGCACCAGGTGAAGACAAAGAGACTCTTCTCATTCAAATGTATTTTGACCGCGTTCGTCAAAATGTCGTCCGGAATCTCAGCAAACAGGGCCTGCTAAGCAAGCGTATGAAGGCAAGGCAAGACTCCTTTGTCTCAGAAGATGACGTGAGTGCAACCCGCCCTAAGCACGGAGAAAGGTTCGGGGACAAAGAGCTCAACGAGGCGTGGTGCGTACTTATGTTCCGCATGCTGTGCTGGTTACAACTGCACGATTTCCACAAAATGGATATCCACATAAGCAAAAGCGACGCATACGCGAGTCGCATCCCGGTTTATATTGTATGATAGCTGTGTAAGAATACCAATCTCTTTTCCTCAATACATGAACTTTACTGTGATCGAAGTGAACTCAGACACTTCAAGCCCTGGCCAAAAGAACTTGACCTATATGTGTTGGAACCTCGCCGTTGAAGGCAAAGTAAGCTTTGTAATACCTGGCCAGTCTTGGACCCACGGGATAACTTACGCTGCCCGAGTCACCAAGTCAACTTTTTCAGCAAACCTTGCGCTTCGGCCATTGGATCTCGAGACAAGCCCAGCAAACTTCTCTATCATGATGATGCCTAACGCGCTTTCCTATTGAGATATGGGTCGCGCCGAGAAAACGAGACCCGGAAGGCCAGTCCCTTTTGCAGGTCTGCATCTACAGTAATCTGACCCAGCGGATCGGAACGTTTTAATTGTAGAGCCATATCATCCACCAATACGCACCGTAGTTGTCTTTTCAAAATTTTGTGGAATACTGAAAATACGAAGGCCAGTGGAACTTAGGGCGAGTAAGTACCTAATGGAGGCCAGGAAGGCAATCAGAGAGTCAATAATGTTGAAGAAGCGTCAAGCTATCCTGTCGTTTCAAACAACCACTTCTACCTGGCATAGCATTGCAAGGGACCGGACCTCTTACTTGAAACTACAGTTAATCGCGCATTGCCTTCCGCGTAATGGAAAGTGCTAATTTCGGTAAAAGTTCCATATAGAGCAATCGTACGATGGAGCAGTCAATGTAAATTATCTGGCTCGTAATTTGGACAGCCTGTCTTGCTGGAGACTGTGCACAGGTACGGAACTAGCTTTTGAAATAAGCTTTTACCCCTGGACTTTTTGCCTGGCGATCAAATGAAGATAGTACCACGATTTAACTTTATCCACCCTTTCGTTTCTCAATACACTCTAGTGATTGCTTTAATTGTACTTACCCACAAACGACATGTCAGCAGATAACTGGATACCGTTATGTCCGCCATAATACGCAATTATGCCGACCTAGCTACAATAAGCGGCTACTACTAAAGAATCCCAATAGAATGTATGCCTTAATTATAGTTTAACCTAACTTCATCCTGGACCACTTTCAATACTACAGCGCGTATTGCACTGTCGATCTATGGATACACATACGAGTCAGTATATCATGCCATGAAATGTCGGTAACTTAGGAAAACACAAGGTTCATAACGTAACCGTCTGCATAGCGTATTAAAATCTAATAGCTATCGAAGATATATTACTTGAAAATACATAAAGACTAAGTGTATAACAGACAAGGTGCATATAGTATATAGAAAGCAATTAAAGCAGGGAGGCATAATATTCTAAATGGATAGAAGTAGGTATTATATTAATGTTAAAACATAGAACAACTAAAGCCCGGAATCCACATAATAAAGTTGGAGTTATTTCAAGGAGAGCTATGTTGACAAGAGGTATACTGGTTCACAAGGGGGTAGAGCCAATACATCTCGTTCGTTACTCCGTATAACGTGGGTCGATTTACATAATTGAAAGCTTGGATATCTTTTGTCCAGCAGTATGATATATTATAATGTGTCTCCACACAATCTCAAAGAACTACCTATAAATGCCCACCCACATCCATTCACAAGATGCATTTATCTACTATTGTTTACCAAGCAGCTCTTTGTAGCCAAGTATTTTCTCCTGCCCAACCTCCATAGCCCATATCTACAAGGCATCTTTCCAAAGTAGGTCCTTGGAAACTGAACCTTGCCCCTGTCAGTACTGACGGTACAACCAGGCGCCAACACATTTACAATGAAGTTATCAGCTGTCGGTCTCATTTTCGGCCTCTTCGCCCTGGCCAGCGCAAAGTGCTACAACTGCATTTACGACAACGGTGCACCTCCATGCGGTGCATGCCCCAGTGCTATGCCCAACGGATGTGCTGGTTGTATTGGCGGTTGCCCTGCTGCGGTGGGTGGCACTTCATCTTCGTACGAGGTCGACTGTTAGAGTGGGTAGCAATGTGACAATTGTTAGGAGATTTCATCATCTGACAGTTAGAAAGTTAGATCAATAACCTATGATGCGGACTTGTTTGGAATAAAATTGAATGGAATAGTAAAGAATGTTTCCTGATGAATGATAAAAAGGTAGTTAATGCTAGACAGCATGGAATATTCCATTGAATGTCTAAAATCATGCATAATGGAGCAACACAGCTGCAACCGACCCATCCCCGTCATGAGATTTCAGTGACGTTTCGGCTTCGTAGAGCATATGAGAGGAGTACAACTTATGGCCAGCGGCATTAGTTAGCCCTTTCAGGCTGCAAGTGCAATTGCTCAAGTGTCTGCGATTAATCTCTGCATGATCGGGAACAACTATGTCACTATGCGACAATGGCATGTTAGTGAACTATACCTATTTGGGAAGTAAAAAACAGTTGTACAAAGCGTAGATTGGTCACAACGAGCATTCCAGCTTTGATTGAAAGAGCCTTGTTTTTCTCAATTGAAGGTGGCGGTCGGTTTGACCTTATCAAGCTACCGAAATCGCGCAGTGGGTTCAATCTGACCAATTAGAGAGGGCTGGGCTTCTTACAGCGCAACAAAAACGCATCTTGTGTCGCAGTATTTCAGGTGCCCTAGCTTGTACGCAAGGGACTTTAGTCTTTTGCATGCCGCAGTTATGAGCCCGGGTTTCTTAGCAGTTAAAGGTATCGGTTTCAACGTTGCTGGCAAAGCCGAACGAATCCACGGCTCAATTAGAGCGTCTAGCAACCCAAAAGGAAGAGTGCTTGCGGCCAAACAACCTATTCGCGTGACTGTTGCTTTAGTCTCATGTAACTTCCTAATTGCTATAGGTATGAGGAAGGCCAGCGCAGCGTTTACTGTCCGGTGCTATATGACTGTCAAGCCGTCACCAGAAACGCTTCTGTTTTGCTTGGCCTCAGCATATCTAGCTTCCAAAGCTGGATTCCCGGCAGGCACATTCAACGTTCTAACGACCTCTTTGGAAAACACCCCTGGTATTTCCGTGGTCTTGTGTAACCATACTCTCAACGCGAAAGTAAGGCTTACAGGCAGCACTAGGGTGAGCAAAATTGTTGCTGGTCTTTATGCTCAGGGCCTTAAAAAGTGCACACTGGAGCTTGGTGGAGACTGTCCTGTTATTGTCTTTGACGATTCTGACATTGGCCAAGCCATCAGCCAAATCATGGCATTAAAGTGGAGGAATGCGGGCCAAGAATAAAGACTCCATTCACACGCGCATTTTGCACTAACTGTAGGGTTCCATTTTGCAATATGAGTCACTGTGATCATGTCGTACTTCTGAATAGAGTCGCAAGTTCTAGTTGCTTTCACCATGTGGAAATTTCCAAAGTGTTGGCTTGATATGTTTCGTTGAGATGTCGCAAGCTTGAGCTATCAATTAACCCTTTAGCAGTCTCTAAATCTTAGCAACAGCAACAATAGGGCCGCCAGAACCCTCTTGAACTAGAACAACAGCATTCTCCCCTGGTTTCATTGAGTCCTTAGATGCTGGAAGGCGCAGTGTAACGTCACCGCCAGTCCACTTCCCAATCTTGAGCATATCCGTGACTACATTGCGATGATCAAGCTTTACGCCCTTATTAGGCCCCTTGCCAATCTTGACTTTCTCATCACCACTTCTGAAGAGGATAATGATAATGTCATGTTCCTCTGCCATTTCAGCGTCAGAATCGATCCTGACCTCCGTGTCATTGGCATCAAGGTAAATATGCCATGGTCTGTCTATCTGGACGGCCCTGGCTCGCTGCACAATCTCTTGGATACTCTCCTTGCCGCCGGCACCAGAGCCATCAGCTACACCGTTAACGATGACCTGAGGAGTGCAAATGGTCTTATGTTGCTGCTTCATGGCATAGGCCCGCTGTCGCTGGTCCCAGGCCGACTTAGCAAAGGTATCTTTCCAGCCCATATGGTCAAAGAGCGTTACGTTGTAGGTCAGAAGAAGGAGGTTTGGGTGGTTTGCGCCCTGAAGAATGCCAGAAATGGCAGGAGGGCAGGCCTGGCAGCTTTGAGACTGAAAGAGCTCGACCACGGCGAGGGGCTCAAAGTCGATGAAACAGGCAGCTGTATGCTTGTGATCTGGGTCTTCACCCATAGGATAGCCTTGGTCATCAAGGGAGATGGAGCAGACCAGAGGGGGCTGCTTCTTGCGGCGGAAGAGTTTGCGAAGGATGGCAGCCATGTTGTTAGGTGATTGATTGAGAATGGAAGAAGAGGAGAAGATGTAGATTGAGGGGGAATTGGTTGTGTATGGTGTAAGTGTGTAGGAAGACTGGGCATGATAGAGACGGAACCCGTGAGGAGTTTATATAGAACGGGATGACTTTAAATATCGGTATTGCCAGACGCATTGGGCCGCCCTACCGGACTCACCATGCTTACACACCTCTATACTTTGGAATGGCTTAGAAATGCTGACTAGGCTGTGATATCTCGGCCCTATCCCAGGCGGATATTCGTGGTCAATAACAGGCATTGTCAAACCGCAATTCGCTGGTCAAAGAAGCAAATCCTTGATTCAGATCAATCTCACGGATGAGAAACAAAGCCGTCCGAATAAGGGCCAATCACATCCCCCTTCAACTCGCAGGTCGTAGACAGTGGCGCAACCGTAGTGGAGCTGTCATCACAGCCACGTCGAGGCAGCTCGCATTCTCTTTCCCAATGTGGAATAGCACACTATTTGAGATGCCGTAGACCAGGTCAGCAAGTTGATTCTGCATTGGGAACTGTATTGACGTATTCAGCATCTAACCCGTAGGTCAGAAGGCACTACAGACTCGGGCATGGCGAAACCAATGAACTTTGAGGGATTCTGCCTTGGACGAGAATTCCTGACCGCCACTGTGTCCAGAGGCAGTGCCTCAGAGGTGTACTGCGACCTGCCGTACCTGGTTCCACCTCTAGTATCACAGAATCTCATATAAGGAATTCAAGCTTATCTCGGCTGCTCGAAGTTACCTTCTTGAACTGAATTAAAAACTGGGGTCTGGGTTCAATTCTCTAGGTAGCCCCCTATTGCCTTCAGTCACTGTAAGAGCGCTTTAGGGCAGGACTTAACTTAATGTTTGCCGCGGCAGCTCGCATACGATAGACATTGGGTACTGAAAAGCAGTAGGACGCAAACCTGAAGGCCCTTTAGAGTTATCTATTAAATATAAGAGTTTCTTTTATATATTTAAAGTAAAGTAAAGGCTAAAACGCAATTAAAATATTAACTCCTTAATCTGCCAATATCTCATTTATAACAACTGAAAGTTTTCGCTCCTCTTCAAAATATGGATTTATCACGTATGTCTTAATACAGTTTCACGAGGCAATAGCTATCAGTTCTCATTCAGTCCAGGCACCCCTGCCAGCTCGACCGGCCCTCCTGAAGAGCGCAACAAGCCAAATAATAGCTATGGGCAGATCGGTAATTCGGTAAGTCTTGAATAATATAGGCTTCTCTTGGGTTTAGTTTCTTTCCTAACCTATGTTTCATTTTAGGAACAATCACTTAATATCAAGCTAGCAGATTCCCGTCAAGGGATGAATAATCAGCCGCAAGGGGACACTATTATTCAAGGTCTCAGTCCGCCAGACTTCTTTTCTTTTATAAAAACAACTAATAAATAGAAGTAGTCTAGAAAAAGATAGACAAAGCTATTATCTAGGTGCATTCCTGCTTAAATACCGTTTGATTCAAGGAAATCGGTGATAACCCCATACGCCCTGGTAGCATTGTGGTGAAAATTGAAATTGTGACTCGCGTGTGGGTGCAAGTAGGTCTCAAATTTGGCATTCTTCCAGATAGTTTGCGCCGGCTCCTCAAAGATGCCTCGACACTGTCCATCGCAGATGATGTAGTCCGTCTCTCCAGTGATGGCCTGTATCATGTTAGCCTCAGGGTCTTCTGTCAAGAAACAGGGTACCTACGAGGGCAGCTCCAGTAAAACCACTGGCATCAAAGTCGCCATCAGCAATAGTCAGAAACTCTCCGATGGCAAATGGCTGCTTGTATTCCTCACAGTAGGACGCTGTGGGAAGATCATAGTACGGGTACTTGAAGTAGCTAGAGATGGTTACAGTTAGCAGCGGGTACTTTGGGTAGTGGGCAATACTTGCGTGTTGATTTGCGCGATGGTATCAACCCAGGTCAAATATCCAGAGTTCAGTAGTCCAAAACGGCGGGGGTTTTGGAGGGAAGCCACTCGGGGTACGAAGGAACGAATCAAGCCTTTGAGGTTCAGCCCCGTTGTATTGTAGTTGATGGCCGTCAAGATGGCTGCATCTGCAATGGTTGGGTTCTCGGCTACGGCAAAGTGTGTGATAAATGATCCAAAGGAAAATCCCATTACGGCGAGCTTGTCGGGCCTTCCAAAGGTACCTGTGTATTGCCCGGACTTGACGATCTTGGCGAGCTGAATGAGGATGGCCTTTTGCTTGCGAAGCTGGTTGGTGAATCCAGAGACTCTGTATGTAAGGTCAGCTACTAGCCTGCACATGGAAAATATTTTACCCACTTTTCAGACTCGCCAGTGCCAAGACGGTCGTAGAACCAGACCGAGTACCCTTTGCTGATAGCATGCTGGACGAAGTTGTACTCGGCTGGTTGGTGGGCAGCGTTCCAGTGAGTCCGAGCCTGCCCGATGCCGTGAGTCGCAAGAATGATGGCTTTCTTGCCCGCATGCTTTGGCGTGCAGAAAGATGCGGCCAAGGTGTAAGTTGCAGTCTCATTCTTGGTGCCGACAATGGGGCTCGGGTATCCAGCACTGTCTCGAGTCGTTGCAGCCGTTAGGAAGTCTTGGAGAGCATAGTCGTCTTCCCAGTCCGGGAAATCAAAGATAGCGTTCTCAGAGGTGATGGTGACGGGGACTTTGTACTCCCAGCAGTCTGCATTTGGTGGGTAGTAGGGTTGGGTGAGCTGCGAGGTGCTGGGAGAAAGGTATTTGGCGACAGCAAGGCCATACATCATGAAGTAGGCGAGAAACATGAGAGAGAAATTCATGTTGGATATTCGAGTAGTGGATTTTCAAAGGAGTTTGAGGGCTAAATATTGTCGGTGGTTGATGGTGTGAATAAGATGCCTGGATGCACCAGGCCCTGCCCTTTTTATACATGAGAAGCCCAATCATAGAGCATCACAACCACGGTTACAATAAAGCCTTTGAAGCTCTATCAACCTAGTCACACCTCTCGCTCATTGCATCTAGAAATGGCTTCCTCCTCTCCACTCTTGCCAACAATATCTATCTCCGGATCGAATCTTACTCTTACTCTGCCAGCCCAGCGCCCGCTGACATTCTCCACTCGCAGAACTGCCAGAGTCTGGTAATACGATTCATCAGCACTAGTGTTCAGCTAGGTCAGCACTAATGCCGGCGCTACCGTAGCTCTTATCCGCCGCTAAGCCCATGGCCCAGGTTATATAAGTGGCTGTCACCCCGAAAGGAATGATTGCGCGAGCAGCCGAGGAGCTCTCTAGTACCGGCCAACTCAACAACTGCGACGAGTTCCAGGTGATGCGAGCATGGTGGGTGTTCCAGGCCGTAGCAAAGGTTGCAATACCTGCAGAAAGCGCCGAGTAAAATGCGGTAAGATCTGCTCCGTTACTCCATATCACGCTCAATGGCGGCCGATCGGCGATCCTGATTGCTTGGGTGTTCCTAGACGAAACCAGACCCGTCTGTGTTCGCTGTACGAAAGGGGGCTTTGAATGCTTGGGCTTCAACAGGGAGCGAACTTGGCACCATACTTCGACAGCACCCTTCCCTCGAGATGGAGTGTCCCAACAAAATGCCTCGCACTCCGGCCACAAAGCCACGTCCTCAACCATGAGCCGAGTAGCCTCCCCACCTCCCGAGATGAGCTTGATTGCGTTTCAGGGAGACTTTTGCTTCGCTTTCATGTTCTCCAACTTTGTCTGGCGAAGCTACGGAACCCCGTGGCTCGACCAGGCGGCTGCTGGGAAGCTTGGAAGTCTCTCCCTGGATGCCGCCAAGGCGCTTTCTGAGGCCAACTTTGGGAGATCTAACCATCAACGAGACATCGAACTCAAGGGTATTATGCAGTATGGAAAGTGTTTGAAGACATTGGCTGGTGCGCTGGGAAGTAGCGCTGTTCAGGGAGGGCCACATTTGCTGGTACCCATTCTTGTGCTACTGATGCATGCTGTGGGGGCCTGAAGCCGTGGTTGAAGATTACATGATTCTGACGTTATCCAGGCATCCTACGCTGACCAGACTGGTGCTGTGTTTCATCTCCGAGGGCTTGCGAGGCTGCTTCACCTCTGTGGGCCAGAAGCCTTTCAGGAGCAGCCTTTTCTCAATGCGTTCGAGGCAACAAGGGCGACTTTGGTAGGGTCAAATAAGCTCCTCCAGTCAAGATTATGATGTTAATTTATACTTCCAGCTTGTTGCAAGTCTATACGGCAAACAGCGTCTCTTTCTCGAAGAGGAGCGCTGGCGGATGGTCCCATATAAGCGTAACAAAAGGTTCAAGACGCCACAAAGCCAGCTCTTAGACATCTTGGTGGTTGTGCCGGGGATTTTGCAGGACCACGAAGCAGCACAGTTGATGGATGAGGATAGGCCGGGCTTAAGAACAGAGTTGCTGGGAAGGGTTGAGAGACAGCTTGTTGCCCTCTACCGCTGGCGATGGCAATGGCAAGCCCGCTCTGGAAACCATGTTGAAACCGACGCCGGCAACACACCCCAACTTAATGGTCGAGCAGCCGAGGCTCTTGGTTCTATTGGTACTTCCAGGCAGTCGGGACGACTGAGGTTAGGCAAGTTCGCTCTTGCGACAGAGCTCATGCTCTACAATGCTACAATGATGTGGCTTATCGCCCTTCATTGGAAGATCGACCCAGTCAGCGCAAGCGCGCGCATCGAAGCGTGTGCTGATGCTGCCATGCCTAATGAACCAGCCACTAACTATTTATCGTTTGAACCGCTTAGACGACCTGGCGGTGCTGTCACGGTGCGAGATCCTGCCATGGAGATTTGTCGAGTGTTTGAATGGGTAACTCATCATCATTGCCGATGCAAAGAACCCTCGTTCCTATACCTGTTCCCTATGGGGGTAGCGATGAGTGTCCTAGAGATGGAGCCCGAAATAAAGGCATGGGCGACAAGTCTACTGAATGTAAGCCCCATTACTGCCAACTATGCTCATGGACAGAATGCTGCTGGTTTCGGCTTCTACGTTACTCCTGAGGCACTTCATCCAGAGAAGGTTGTGGCGAAGATGCAGCTGTTTTCAGTCCAGGATATAGAGGAGCTAGTAGTTTAGTTTAAATAAAGCAGGGTGAGCTTTCTATTAGTATTATTAGTAGTAGTAGTATCTAAATATATATATCCCTTATTTTTAAAATTTAAAAACTCTATATTATTAGAGTTTATATTTAAGTATAGAAGAAGCTCTTAGATTATATTATTTATCCTTTACTGTGTATTACTCATAACTACTGCTTTACCTTCTGGACAGCAACACCAACTCTATCTGGCTTTAAATTCTATCCCTTATAGAAGGGTAAAAGCAGAAGACATAGCACGGCTTAACAGTAAGACAAGCCTATAAGGAAGTTACTATACTCTGGGTCAAGCCTAGGGTTCTGAGATATTAGCATTACAGTCTCCCAATGAGCTTTATCGGAGTGCCCAGTGAACTAACTTATTTATAGTAATTAAGTATAGTTTAATTATGTCTCGGCAAGGAATTGAGCTATCGTTGTTATACCCTCACTTACGGTCCAACGGCAGAATGGCCTTTCGACAGCCATATAGGATGGAAATGGCAGTGGAGGAGTCTGCCGGCAGCCCGCAGGAAGTCTATTAATAAGAGAGAAAAGAGGCTTTCAGTAGATTTGAACTCGACTTGACGCTGTGGGATCCCATAAATACTCGTGGGGCAAGCAGGAGGTGCGCCACTCAGTAAAAGTATGCATTGAGCGTACTTAGATGGTCATCTTGCGACGACGTCTCAGACAGACAAGGAGCTGCTTGATTTATCAGCTAGACTCAGTGGCATTGAATGCGTTCATGTTTCACAGTCTCGCATAGTCGTTTCGAGTTGATACGCTCCAGCGAACCGATCATCGTTCTCCAACTCAGCATCGCTAGCCAATATCGATATCTTTACCAAAAAGGAAAGTACAGACTGAGGGCAGTCAGTGAGCTCGCGGAAAGGTGGCCCATGAATATCAGCTTCCTCATGCTGCTGATACAAGATGAAAGGTGCGGGTGCGATGGGCTTTCGACGTCGCAAGAGAGACATGATGACGTCGATCATGGCAAATCGATGCACCAAGAAGCGTGAGTAGAATTCTGCAGGCATGGTTATGTATGTATACAGATGACCCTTCTTTGGTATTAGAAGTTGGAGATATCGCTCCATGCTCCACAACGATCTCAAAGCTTGTGACCGACGCTCTTCCATGGCTCTTAAGTCACCTCTGCAATAATTGTATGGCTATCAATGTAAATAGCAGCTACAGTTTATACAACTACATTTGAAAGAGCCGCCAATGGTAGCCAAACGATAAGAGGCCAATAAACAATAAGAGTCTGAGTTGCAGCTCGTACACATTACGCCAAAGCTCCAAAGTCATAAGCCGAGCTGTGCTGCTAATGCTTGCATATCAATCTTCACCAAGTTGAGCATGTCCTATTGCAGGATCAATTCAGATCAGCCAATACAAGGACGGCAGGGACTTTGCCCAGGTGTTATCTTTTATATCCAGCCTGCTGTTGTGCGTTCACGTGCATACGTGCATTAGTATTGCCTCGGCACTTGGCACAATAGTGCACTACTTTGCATGTCAACAGCTTGGGCTGCTGATCCGGTACGGAACCTACTCCCTGGTCTCGCCCTGTACCAAGTTTTCGTATCATTTTTAAAGTTAGTTTTGTTCACTAGTGGCTAGCTCCGAGCTCACAGTCTCTCTACTGCATAGAATTGTGATTGCGCTCGAGCCTCGGCTAGATTCCGTGTCGCAAACTAGACCTAATTCTGAAAAGCGAACCAGATGGTAGCTTCTAAATAATTTTCGCGTTGCCTGCATTTTGCGCATGCTACTTTCCACTGCGTCATCATGAGAAGCCATGATCTGATTTTAATGGATTTGCAGTTTGAATGCTGCGGTGCAGAGGGCGGCTTGGTGCTAGGACCTCTTAACAACTTTTGCCCTGATATTCACCCCGCAATATAAAATGCCATCCATTTCCGACAAATTCCCACTTTGATCTTATTGTTCAATATAAAATTACAACCTGCCTTCTTCAACATGGAAGCCCAAAAATACAGCAGGCCCTCGCAAGCACAAAAACCACAGCGGCCCACCAAACTGGTGTTGGCTCTACGAGCACTTGTCCTTGGAGTCACAGTCGCCGGGATCGTCGTATCCTCTATCCCTGCCCCGAAAAACTTTATTGCAATTGGAATACTAGGACCAGCTGTAAGTAGACATATTGTAGCCAGCTTCTGACCTTCTATGTATTAACAACTTAGTTTGTCACGACTTTCTGCTGGTCAGCTATAGAAATTCTGTACCCACTGGTCAGGATCTTCCCACCTGCCTATGTGTCATTCCGTATTCTTATCGACTGCTTTATTGTAATTGGCTCGATAATCTGCCTGATATGCTTTGGTTTATTCCGGGATTGGTGGCCAGGGGGTAGTGCCCTCAGCTCAGAAGACGCGCCTTTGGCTCGAGAGATACTATTCCAAGCAGCGCTGGGACTCGCCTGCGCCTCGACGTAAGCTGTGTATCAATTCAGCAGTAGATGACTTGCTAACGCTTGACTTAGAGTTCTTGAGATCGTAATCTGCATCACTCAACTTTTGGAAAAATAGTTGGTAGCCAAGAGTTGACAGGATATAATCAGGTTGGCTTTAGATACGTAGGTAGTAATTGTGCTACAACCCCAATTTATGAAATACTCTTGAACCCGCATCTCGGCACTCTCTGTATCAATTAGGTATCTGCCAGACTAATATTGAATAAGTTTTATACAGAAGTATAGAATTCCCTATCCAGAGCATGTATGGCGCAAGTCTCCAAGGTGTAGGTAGTTAAAACAAATACCACTTTAGGTATTAACCACAGAGCCCAAGTGTCTGGTGAGTCTATGTCCACTTTCCACCACCATCAATTATCTTCCAGGATATATAGTTCGAGGAAAACGCACTGGATCGCATCATGACTCGCACTAGACGAAAGTGGTGCAGAGCTCCTGGTCCGGCCCACGCTGGGTATTTGCGTCTGTTTACCCATCCCCAGGAAGCTGACAAGCATCCGACCAGATAAACTCAGCAAACAATACCCTAAACCTATCCTAAACTTAAACCAAATTACCTAAGTTTTCTTATCGCTTAGGATCAAGCCCCTGAGTTTTTTCTCTCCCCTAGCCCAAGTCGAGGATGGTTGATCCAGCGATAACTTTCCATGCATCACGTCATTCCAGGCAAGCTCTTGGGCTTGTTTGTCAACGTCGATAGAGTGTCCGGTACGAGGAAGGCTCGGTCTTACTCTTCAGCAAACCGGTTATCTCTTTTCTAGATTTATAATAAATCTTATCGCTGACTTGAGGCTGATGCTCACATTGCAGACAGAGCTGTCAGACGCATTGTGCTCAGCGAAAGCCGGTCCGTTGCAATGCAGGTCATGTAATGATATAGGCCAGCTGAGATCTTCTTTAGATCCAGTTTATACCATAGATACGGGAAGGTCATCAATTTCCTCGACTGTAAAACGCTCCCTTCCCGATACTTTCGTTTCATGGATGACCATCAAAGGAGATTTGAATACTGGGTGGATGGCATGGGTTCTGCTCAAAGTCATATACAAATCCTCTTGTGGCTGTCCCGATGGTTTAGGGAAAGGCAGAACAGATAACCTCTGAAGCATCTCAGATGTGATGCCTCTGAAGATATCAGACGAGAAACGTTGAATGAGCTTCTGATGAGATTGCGAGATATCCGCAAGCGTTGGATGTATGTCTCTATTATGATAACTAAACGTGATGGATTTAACAATGTAGCGACCATGCTCTATATCAGACTCATATGGCTTGAGCCAATGACGATAAAGCCAGGGGTCGAGAGAGTTCAAGACACTGCCACCAGCTCTGTCCGATTCTATCCTGTCTGGGTAACAGTGATACATCGCCACAGATTTGTTATGACAGATAATAAAATGATAAAGACTATGATAGCCAAGGACCCATCTTAAGCTGTCTCTCCTGACTGGAAATTCACAGTAGAAAGGCTGTTGAGCGAAGCGCGCCTAAGCGTTCTCCCGGAGCTCTTTTTCCTTAAGCCCACGCAGTTGGTGCAGGATCTGGTCTCTGTCTGTGAAAGGTCGTGGTGACTCTAGCGCAAGATCTGATGCGACAACACGATCATATTCCTCGGCTACTGTGGCCATCAACGTCGACGGGTTATGTGAATGACATCCTCTGCCTTTTGCAGATGGTAAGCATGGGATTCGGAAGACATAGCGCTGGATGTTGACGGGTGATGAGTGAAATTTAGAAAAGTATGAGGATGAAAACAAGGGGCCGAGACACACTTATAGGTGAAAATCTGGAAGCCAAACTTGATTTAATTCCCATTCAAAGTCGCTTGAAAACTCTAATATTAAAGACAGCTTATTCATATTTCTGGCTCAGCCATACAGGACAGTGAGCAAGTGAGAGTCTCAGTTACAGCGAAATCTGATCGAACCTTAATCTGACATTTCTCACACAATTACTTGCATGCCACAGATCAATGTTTACTTGCCAGGCAGCCTGCTTATAACGACTGGCGAGTCTCGGGGGACTATTTATGTCACGTGACTGGTTGACTGACGACAATGAACGTTACTCAATTTAGATCCGTGTCTAGCCTAGACATGCATGTTGCTTTGTCCATAATTTCAGCCTGTGGCATCTCAACGAAAACATACCAAGTCTCCTCACTTCCTCACTCGAGCAAGTATTGTCTTCAAAGCTAAGTTCATTTTAAATTGGGACATTGTTGACCTCAAGATACAAAATCCATTTCCCAATGGGGAGAAGCACATCCTGTTCTGTTGTTCCGGTCTCGCTAATTAGTAGTACCTTATGAAACATTACAAAATTTGTAGAAACTTGAAGGAAAGCTATGATAGGACTTGAAGAGCATTCTGCAAAGCCCCTTTCTCATCTTTCTTACACTTGGGAATCTCCTCCTCAAGTGCCAATCGGAGTTTCTGACGCACTTCCTTCCAAGCAGGGCCTCCCTTGTCTGTAGCAAGTTGGTCGAGAAGAAGCTTAAGAATAAAGGGAGAGCGTGGAATCTTTAGCATTTCTACCAAGTTTGTCACCATTGAAGACATTGCAACCGGATCGGTTAGGTCTTCGCGGGTCACCTTTGGTGTTTGTGTTTTAGAATCCCTGATTTGCGCTGTTAGTAAGGTCCGCCGCTCGCGCAATGCCGCTGATGTGGTCTCGAGTACGCTGCTGCTTTTCCTCGAACCTCGACGGGGAGATGTGTTTATTGTTTCGGTAGCCATCGAGGTTAGTCCCAAGAGCGTAGGCCCTACGGCTTGTAGAAGCCATGCTGTCGTAAGTCCCTTCCATTGATTTGGTACGTGCGTCGACCTTCCGTCTCATCCCGATTGGAACTTCAAATGTGCCAGTAGTGGCCGTTGGCTCAATCTGGGGTATAGATCCCGTCTTCCACGTGCGGCAAAGCTCATGCTCGTATTTCGTTGTTCTTCCAATGACACGGGATCCTTGTTCGAAAGGCCAGACATGGCCAGTTCGTGTCCCATTGGGCCAGTAACCACAGGCCAAGAAGTCTTTTGGAGGGTTGGTTGACCTGGGATAGGGCTGGGAGTCCAATCCGGGGCTTGGTAGGTATTTTCAGGCTTCAAGGCCTGTGACTTTGCTCCGTCGGATTCCCATAAGTTAACAACCTTGGTGGACGAAGGGCCAGACGTGAATGCATGCGATGTTGTTCTACGCGGAGTCCAAGTTGATTCGCCAGCCATAATTCTTTGTACCAATAGGTTAATGAATGTCTGGCAATTTCTGTTACAGACGCTATAGTTTTCGTAAGGCTCATGTGTACATGAGTGGTGGCTTCAATAGCAGTCAGTAACACTTGTATTAACCAACTTCTTTCCACCGTGGTTGAGAACCTACCACATCGAACAATTGAGTCATTGTCCCAGCTTGTGAACTTCCCCGTCTTCTCATACTTGATGCCTGCTTGCGACTCAGTTTCTTCACGCCTTTGTCGCGTACGATGAAGAACAATAATCCCGCCGTCCGAGCTCCGTCCGAGCTCTACACAGAGTCCTTGACGGGTTTGGACATCTTGTTCGGTCTCGACGTATGTCCCCCAATGCGGTATAGATGAGGCTTTTATATACCGCCCAAGATAAGCAGGGCCGGAGATGGGCACAGGTGTCCCAGCTGGCACTGTGAATATCGTAATATGTCGCAATGTGCTTTTCTGAGGTTCCATCTTCTTCGACATGAACGATGGGTTGTGATAATCTTCATGGTTCGATACTCTAGGTAGAATATGTCCCTCGTTTATTAACCATCTGTCAGCCAGATTGCGGCCCAAAATGTTACAAACCACACCGCTAGGTTTCGAACCAATCATGGGTGCAGTAAGCTCAGGCCTCGAAAGCTGTTGAATTCGACAGCCTCGTTTCATGGGCGCCTCAGGCATGTCGTTTGACATCACGGCCTTGACCTCTCGCATCAGGCTCTGCTCATATAATCAGGTTCTAATGACGATCTTCCCTCAAATATGACCAACCATGTCGCGGACTAAGCTAAATTACATTCTTCAATCTTCCATGGCCCGTATGGGGAACACGACTCGTCGTCTCTGGGCGTTAGCCTCCAGGACCGTTGAGACAGGCTACTCACCCTGGGGAGTCTGGGAATGCACAGCCAAGAACTTGCTCCAAGCGCCACAGTCACAACAGAATGAAGTCTTCCAGCATTTCCTCCATACCAAGCAACGAGAACTCGAGATAGTAATAATATCTGTATGTCTGACCTGTCATAAGGATTCGACCCAGCATAATCTAAATACTTTCTGATTATCCAGAGTGTTTTAGTTGCTACCCTCGTCGGCAGCTTGATGTCGTGGAATTGGTTTCCAGTTCCTCCATACACTGCAAAGATTGCCATGCTTTGTGCACTTATCCATGCGCTTCTAGGCACCTCAATTGCCACACAGCAGTTCTTGATTATGGCACAAATCTCAATCAGCCGCAACGTAACAAGGTGTTACTATGTGCAATTCTAGGATCAGATGCTAGTAGTTTCGCCTCTCCGATGCCTCGACTAAGGCGCCTGGCATCTTTCTCTTGGCAGGCACCTACGATGCTACTAGGAAACAGCATAGTGTTTCTGCTTGTCGGGATTGCAATCCACATATATGACGCTGCCCGAAGTGCTGGAATTTGGGGGGCTGATATGGTAACAGCGCTTTGCTTTACTATATCGTTGATCTTTGCAGTCACTACATACTTTGTTCATTGGGTTGCACTATACTAGGTTGTTAATGCTGAGCTACAGGCCTAACTAGGATGTACAATATTCAAAGAATTTCCTCTATGATATGGATAGTTAAGCCTCACTTTCAGCCGCACGCTCCTCAATGCCGTCATCCTCCATCTTCAAAGTGTAAGCCCTGCCATATGCATTCTGGGGATCTCGCTTCTTGAAGCCATCATCCTTCATCTTGAGGGTATAGAACTTTCTGTATGCATCCTGAGGGTCACGCTTCTCGAAACCATCGTCCTTCATCTTGAGAGTATAGGCCTTGCCATACGTGTTCCTCTGAGGCTCACGCTTGTCAAGATCGTCTTCCAAGATGTACTTGATGCCATAGCCAGGAGGTGCACGCTTGTCAAGGTCATCCTCCAAGATGTACTTGTTGCCGTAGCCAGGAGGCGAAAGAGGATTCGCCTCTCTCTCCGCAATTGCATTATCTAAACTGAATGTCAACTCATATTGTTTTCCAGGTCTAATTTGACGTACCAGGGAGAGGGCTTGCAGCTGCGAAGCTGCATAGTGCAGCGGTGCTGAGGATCTGAGATAACTTCATTATGTCTTGGTTTGCTATTGGGAACTGCGGTATTGTGAGACTTGTTTCTTCTTCAGAGCTGTGTCTTCTTATACAGGATAATTTCAGTATTAAATAGAATATTTTATCGTCTGCTCTTTCACACAGCTCGTATATTTGTCTAAATCGGTGACTACTTGGAAGGGAAGGTCATTTTGTTGCGGGGTAGATAAGGTTGAATATCCAACTAGATGCACCTATTGGTGTGCATCAACAGAAGTTCTCACGTTGATGTGTCACTAGATATCTCTTTTTGGTGTAGGACGGTGATGCCAGAGTCCAAAGGCATCGCGTCAAGAGAAGACGTCTTACCGGAACTCGGCATCTGTCTTCAAAAGTACCCACTTCGATATCTTGTTCGGAAACCCGAGATCTATCTCGGATTGCTGTGCCGGATTGATCGGCATCTTGCACCAAAAGTACCTTTGATATTCTGCATGGGGAAGGTGGCTTGGTTTTGGCCCCCAGATTTGATGATGATAACAAAATGCAACACGACCTTGGTGATAAAGCAATCCCATTGCTCGAGTTTCAGCGCAATTTTCATAGCATTCAATCTCTTACAAAACTGAGAGTTGACTCTGTTGTTTCTACCTTTTCAGTCTCCTTGCCAACGAATCTATGAACATATCTAAGATTATGTCACTCAAAGAAGACAGAGGTTCTGATGAGAGCCTTCTAGGCAGTGACAGAGAGAGTGATGAGATCGAGTGGACTCGACCAAACCAGCGACAGAACTGGAGACGACATGCTTGGGTAATTCTCAACCTTCTTCTCTTTTTGGTATCTCTTGGTCTTTTTGTCGCTGCCTCCTCCAGGTTCAGCTCGGAGTCCGAGATGGATTACATCCGCAAGACTTCCTTTTACTGTGAGCTTCCATCCGCTCCCCACAATGCTGACGCTCGATTAACTTCTCTTACAGCTCCTGTCTTGGACTCAATCAATTTCAAGCTGAAGCCTATTGAAACAGAGGGTGGCTTATTCGAAGCAAAGAATCCGTCCAAGTGGCGCAACTCTCTCAAGCCTGATCCTGAGGTTGATGATGCATGGGAAGATCTCGAGATCATCCGTGTTTTCCCCATCACTGAGTCCGAGGTTCGCCGACTAGGCAAAGATCCAGAGCTCCTTGTCAAGTTCCCCCAAGAGTACGGTCTTGGTGATAATGCTTACATGGCGCAAATCGACATGTTCCATCAAATCCACTGTCTCAACCTTCTGCGGCATCTGGCTTGGGCCGAGTATAACCGCAATGGGACGGCAAAGAAGCCTTTCAGCGACTTGCATTGGATTCATGTTAGCCACTGCACTGACATATTGATGCAGAACCTCATGTGCAACGGAAATTTGGACATCATCACCTTCAACTGGGTTGAGACCCAGTCGAATCCATTTCCAGACTTTGCTGTCAACCATCAGTGTAGGGATTTTGATGCGATATATGAATGGCAGGATAAACACGCGGTGCCAAAAGAATGGGGGCGGAATGTCACTCGGCCAGCTGGCGCAAAGCAGATTCCAATTAGCGAAGAGTATTATCGTATATATGGGATCGAGAAGCCGCAGGTATCTACAACACCATAGCTACACTAAAATAACCAACCCTAATTTGATTGACACTTCTTCGAGGCTCCTAAGACCCTTCTCACTACCTAAATATCAAGGCATATTGCTGCAGAGACTCTTGGTGCAAGATGATTCAGTCCTGGAGGTATGTGGCCCAACTTTTTATCGACATCCGCTCCGTTTCGAGCTCAAACAGACCTTTCGGTGGCCTCCATTCTTTGGCGAAGAACCAGACACAAACTGGCAACATCCGATCCTCCTCACGCATTTCTCTTCAATGAGAATAGCCACCGCATGTGCTGTGTTATACGTAACATCTGGAGCAGAACGATAGGGTCCAACCCTCAGTCTGCAACCACCATGAATAGCTGCAAGCCTTGTGTCTCCTATGTTTATCTTGCTCTTTAGCATATTACGGATGAGCTGCTGGCAATCCGACTGGGACGCGAGATAGTTGGCGCGGTCGCAGTTTATCTTGAACGTCGCACGTTTGGCAAGGTTCTCGTCCGGAGTCGCTTCCACAATCGCCTTGATGAGATCTGAGTGGGTATCTTCGCTGCTGGTACTGGCGTAAAAGGCAACGGCTTCAGCGTATTGAACAGGAGCATTGACCTTGTAGCCGGCTGCATCTTCCTTGATGATATCCAAAATGGTGTCATTTGTATCTTGGGTGATACCATCCTGGACGTCTCCCTCCATGTGGAATCTTGCCCAAATTGCATCGCCATATCTCTTACTCTGGATAGCTTCAACGTATCTGCTAGACCAATGCTCGATCAATGGCAGCATGGAAGTGTTTTGAAGAACATCGTTGATGGGGATATCCAAAAAGAGCTGCTCTGGCAGGTGGGACGAGTTTGTCTTTGCAACAGCATGCTGTGCAGTAAGCATAAGAGTTATAGTCAGAAGTTGAGAAAGCATCTTTAAGTTTGAAGAAAATGATGATGATTGTTTGGCGACTTGGGCAAGATATGAATCGGCCTATTCCAGTATATTTATACATGGGACAATTGTTGGTCGGAAATTCAGACAATTTCCTTCTCGACTTACTTTTATCATACGACAGGGGCTCATGGTAGTGAACGTGATGATATGCTGTTGGTTGTTAGTTACTTGTCAGCTTTGCCGCAATCCTTCGGCTAGGATTGAGATGTTGGCTCGTGAGTAACAAGAGTGAGTAAATCCCGCAGAGCACATAACAGAAAATCTTTCGCATCATAAGCAAACAACAAAAACAAAAGCTCTAACATCACTCGCGATTTGGTGTTGACTTGCTAGAGAGGGGGACACATATTGTGCAAATGGTGAGTGACCTACTTTATCAGGTAGTTATTAAGATTAAGTATTAAACACCTTGAGTCTATCTGTATTAAGATTGAGCTTATCTTATCCGAGGCTGTTTAATATAATCACTGCATTTGATCATATCAGCAGTGCCTATACGAGACCTACCGTGCGATTTCTGCATGAATGCCGTAAAGTTCTGAGACTCTGTTGGTCCGCATTATGTGTTGGTTGTGATATGTATGTGCTGGCCGCCCCCAAAAGCCTGTATTACTTCATTTTATTGGCTGGATTGGACACGTGCCATTCTCAAATGCCGACGCATCCGAGTTTTTGTTCATCTGAGCATGTTATCTCGACCAAGTGAAACTTTTTGACGTTGGCTTTCGTGACTGAGCAAGGACAAATCCTCGTATTTCATGTTATGAGACTATGGATTGTAGTTGGGCCGTTGCACACACAATGACTCCTCTTCAAAGGGTCCCACGGCTCATCTGGCCTCCCCTGCTTGCTTAAACCGCCTCATCCTCTCTCTCTGCGCCTTCAGTCTCGAGGGTTCATCCTGCCAGTATCAAAGATTATCTTGAGTACCTCTGGGTGCCCGTCCGCACTACTAGTCGTTCGGTAGAGCTCCAGGGCCTCTGCGTATAGTCCTGGTTCGTTCATCTTCGCCTCAACTGCATCTTCCCTGATTTGATCAAGCACCGTGATGTCAGGATTCGGGCCTTGGCCAATGATCAACCCATCCTCTACCCCTCCCTCGATGCAGTAGCGAGCCCAAATGGCGTCGCCGTATCGTTGCTCTCGAATTGAATCGACATACATAGTCTTCCATGGCTCGACAAAGGTCACCATTGTCTGAGTAAATACCTCATTAATTGAAATGTCAAGGAACAGCTCCTCGACTGGGTGCATAATACCAGCGTCGCTCATTTCGGAACTGGTTTCTGTCAATATGCCACAAAATTAAGGAAAGGCTATAGCCTACGATGATTTATTTGGTAAACCTTGATAATAGCAAATGTGATAAAAACGATAATGAGGTTAATAAAATGTAAGAACGAACCGTAAGGGTAAGTACAATAATGGATTCGTCTTGCTAGAGAGATTGATGAGAAGGTTGCGACGAAACAATTTGTGGGAGGGGGGAGCCTGCTGCTTTTATCTTAGTGGGCAACCAGGCAACAGGCTGCAGTTGGCGAACGGTAAGGTTTTTGCTGTAGTTGAGTGAAATCTCTTAACATCTCAGACCTTGCTTCCCGTAGCTTTACGAGGCTTATCGCGCATATACATACCCAAGCGCCTATATGTCTGGTGGAATGAGATTGAAGAACAGGCGCAGTACGCATAATTTACCTTTAAGGTCATGGAATACAGCAATGCTTTCTGCAAACAAGCCTATTTACATAGTAGGTGTCACTTTTGTTAAGAGCGGGGTATTAACTACATCGAAATCGAAGCGCCAGTTAAGACATAAAGATAACACAAATCGAGGCTTTGTAGCTTATCTAGTATGCTTATAGTCTATGGTTAGTGTAGAAGGCTACTTATTATAGCGATATAGAGGCTCCTGCTCTGGAGACGAAATACTAAACTCCACTTGCTAATTACAAAGCAATCTGTACTGTCTTTGACATGCTAGGAGTGCCCTGCGGCGACATGACAAAGAGATAGTAATAACCAGGCAGAAGGATACCGTTATCCTTGGGTAGCTTGACCGTATACTGGTTGCCCTTGACTTGGAAGTCGGTAAGAGGGACACGCCTCTGATCACTGTTGACTGAGTGTGTAGCGCTTCCCATACGAACAAGAGACATCTTGACCTTGCCAGAAGTGTTTGTGACGCTGAACTTAAGAGTGCTGCCCGCTTTGACAGGCTTCTGGGCAAGGTTCTGGATGATGGGACGCTTAGCGATGGAGCCATCCTTGTTGAACAGGTAAGGAGGCTGGAAAATCTCTCCATCGGCGTGGTCAGCTGTCTTGTCGCAGCCAGCAGTTGAACCACCAATCTTGGCAACGTAGCAGAGGCCGCCACCACCAATAAACACGGTAGCATCAGGCAACAGGATCGAGACCGAGTGGTAGTTACGGGGAACAGCGTGAGGAGCGAGCTGAGTCCACTTGTTGGTGGCAGGGTTATAGAGCTCAGGGACAAGGATACCATCAGTGTTGGTGAAGACCATTGCCTTGCGTTGACCTCCAGTCACAAGAACAGTTCCATCAGGAAGAACAACAGCATTACCGAAGCCGCGAGGGAACGCCATATCAGCAACACGCTTGACGGAAGCAGGCTTGTAAGGAGCTCCAATAGTGGTGATATGAGCACGCTTGTTGGCTTCGCTTGCGGTGTAGTCCTGGGCACCACCAGCGGACAGAATCTTACCAGCTACGGCATCGTACATGACAAAGATACCGCACATAGCATCGGCGTTATCTCTCTTACCAGACTTGACGATTGATCCCTTTTGCTTGGTGCCATACCAATGCTGCTCCTTGCTGGGGCCGGCTTGGAAGACACTGCCGTCTTTCCAACCAAAGAGCCAAGCGTGGTTATCCTCACGCCAGATTCCCTCTCGATCCTTGGTGAGCATAGGCTTGACATCGGCTCCAGGCAGCATGGTCCACTTATTGGCCTTGGGGTCGTACACTTCACCATTCTTTCCCTCGCGGGGACCGGAGTAAGCTCCTCCAATGGTGAAGACTCTTCCATCAGAAAGGATTGTGGAAGTCTGGTAGCCACGAGGAATTTTCATGTCTGGTCCTCGGGTGAATGAGTTGGTCTTGGGGTTGTAGAGTGTCACAGCCTCGGCATCAGAACCACCCTGAATCAAGATGCGCCCATCAGCAAGCTGACTCATTCCAGGGCAGAACATATCATGGTGAGTATCGGCGACCTCTCGCTGTCCGACAGCACCTGAAGGAAGGTCGAGAACTCCAAATTGGGTGCGGCCAGAGGCGCCACCGAAGGCGTCAGCGCCCCAAGATGAGAAGAAAAGAAGTTGCTGCGATTGAGGGAACTGGGGAACAACATAGGCGGCAACGGGAATGACAGGGAGACGGATGAGATCGGACCATTTGCCTTGAGTTGCAGGCTTAGACTCGACTGGGGAGTGAACAACGCTGTATCGCTTGCTCTGTACCCAAAAGAGCGACGCCTTGGGCTCGGTCTCCTTGATGTGACAGACCTTCTCCTGCTTGTCGTAGACGGCTTTCTTGCATGTCTTGATACCGGAGCAAATATCGGCACATGCAGCAAGAGAAGCGCAGTTCTTGGTCATTCGTGATGTCGGGCCGACGTAGTCGCTGTTGTGGCAGACGTTGAAAGTCTTGCCACCCTTGGAGCGGTAGTTGTTGGTTGGGTTGGGGCAACGAGAAATGAAGACTCCCTCGTTGACGTTCTTGACGCGAATGGTGTCGAATTTGGCATCTGACGCCCAGTTCATCTGGGCCTCGTTGGCATTGTCCTTGACGTGGCAGATGCGGTTTCGCTTATCGTATACAGCCTTGACGCATCGGGGGTCCTTGCTGCAGATTTCGGCACAGGCATTGGTAGATTTGATGTCCCGGGCGACCTTAAGACTGCCTCCACCGTATCGATAGTCGGTATTGCGGCAAATGGTATACTCGGTGCCAGTCTTGGATGTCCACGATGCTTCTTTCGATGGGCACTGCGTGAGAGCAGCAGAAGAGAATGGAGTAATTAGTAGGGCTGCTAGAGCCACGAATGGAAGTTGAACCATCTTGGCTCAATTGGGAGATTTGGAGTGTAATGTCGATATCGAAGGAGTATTTATCGTAGTTGTCGAGTCAGCGAAAAATTAGGAGTCGAATGGTGTAATTATTAGATTATCGAGAACCACGAAAAGAAAACGAATGACGATCCAGCAATTAACGAGTGTCTGAATGAAACAAATGTCGAAATAGGAAAAACGAAAGAAAGACTCAGATAGCGAGTGCAGAGAGGAATGGTCCTGTCTGAAGCTAGTAGAATAAAGAAGACCGGGCAAAGCTTTTATGTTTCAAGCTTAAAAGGTTACCTCAATGAACCATGTAGCCACGATCTCAGCTGTGGCTATGTTTAGACCCAGAAACCCTGGCTGTATGGACGGAATTCTCGTTCCCTGCCCTGTCGATTCTCCCCTTTCTGGTGGAGCTACCGGTACCTGACACTAACCTAAGCAAAACTAAGCCAAACCAGGCTCTCGGACCCACGACCAAGCGCCGCCAAGCAGTTTGTAGACGAAATACGAGGCCTGGAATACTACATCAGCGGTTATGTCCGTTTGTTCAGGGTCCTACGCGCTGGGAGAAAAAGGGATGATGCCATTATTGCTGGACCAGCTATAGCCTTAAGACTCAGATTAGTTCCCGCTGAGGTTGCTCTGTGCGTGGGTATGTAGCTAAATCGACAGATACAGTCAAACATCCTAGACATTGAAGCGATATCGTTTAAGTATTATAGAGAAAGTGACTGATAAGCACGGTCGCATTCTGACATGCTCAACAAACACACAGACCTCAAGCTACCGATGATTACCGTAGAGTCGTATATACAATTACGCACTTTAGTCTGTTTAATTTAAAAAGAGTCCGTGCTAAAGAAAAGTTTAATATATCAGATTGGCTATAGTTGTGTATTTGTCCCAGGCTCTTTTCTTGTCCTTGTTTTGTTTTCGTTTTTGCTTTACTTTAAACTAAGGAAGTTAATATTCTAGTGATTTGTTTTTTCTATAAATGCTATATATATTATATAAATTAAAAATCTATACTATTATGATAAATTAGTATTAAGAATATAATTTAATACAGGCTTAATTTTTTATTTTACATTACATTCTGGATCTTCTCCTCTCTTTTAACTTTAGGGTAATGCTCGGTTTGCGGGTCCGCCGGTTTTATCTGACTCGGCTTACGCAGGCCTAAATCTTCCGGGCCGCGGAGAATCTTCGCCGAAGACCGAGGCCACCGACCATCGGAACTTTTATTTTGGGGCAGCCGAGCCCGTTTCCACTGTCAGTATCTCCATCACTCAACCCAAGTTCCCTGCACTCGCATCATGTCTTTGCGGCTTCTCAAGCGACCAATAAACCTTGCATCGAGGGCTCCGATTTCTCAGCTTCGTTTACAATCTGGTCAGGCGCAATCGAGCAATGATCTTCCCTCATTTCCCTCTCGGTGGTTCGCTGATCTACAAGCTCAGCTGAAGAAGCTCACCAGCGATAACTACCCATCCAGCTGCGTTGAAGAAGCCAAGAGACAATTGGTGTCAAATGAAAAAAATTGGCTGCAACTCTTGGCGGGACAGCAAGGGTTCCTTACCGATAAGAAATGGCGAGGTCTCGATAACCACCAGCTCCTTTGGGGTGATATGGTAAGCTGTTCCTTATCAGTGATAGGTGCATGATTTCTGACAATTCTCGTCGTTTAGGATAGCATGGTAAGTGGATCTCCTTCGCTTCATTCTAGGACTAAATCTAATATTTTTAGGGTAAGTATCACGAATTTCTGCAACACTTGCAAGATCTGATCATTCCGATGTATCATAGGCCATGTCAATAACGTGATGTATAACCGCTATGTCGAAACTGGACGCGTGCACTTCATCAGACAGCACAGTTTGGATGCAGCACAGCACCACAAGGCTCAATGGGATGATCTGGTGACACCACGTAGCCTGGGCCTTATTCTCAAAAGCATCACAACGGAATACAAATTTGTATGACCCCATGTCAGCTCCAGCATCACAAAGACTGACCAGCTGCTTTTCTCTAGCCTCTTGAGTTCCCAGACCACATCACTGTATTGTATAAGCTGCTTGAAGCTCCAACCAACGAGTCAACGTCGCTCAAGATGGAAGCTTGGATTCTATCAGAACAATATCGCCGCTTGGCAGCACGATGTATCGACGACACTGCCATCTATGACTACACTGCCGCAAAGAAGACGGTCTTGAAGCCGTTTATGGTCGAGAAGTTTCAGCAAACATTCAGCATGCAACAGGCAAACCAAAAGAAGTATACCGATCAGGCAAAGCAGGCAATTGAGGCTGCCAGGGAGCTTCAGATAAAGTACACATAGTTATATGGCTCTTGTCGAAGCCTAATAGACATTCCGTACACGCTCCATCTTGTTAGTCGAACTCCTTACTTTAGGCCCTTCTTGTCCTTAACTTGCTGCGCCAAACGGTTTAAGTCTGCTGGCCATAGTGGATCTTTTTCGATCCCATGAACAACCTGGTCAATCAGAGCAATAGCCAGATCATCCAAAACCACAGCCTCAGTGACCCCAATACCTAAAGCTCGAGACATAGCTGCCAGAACAGTAACTAGAACACCGCCCTGGGCAGGGACAGATCCGGGTTTAGCTATCACCGCTTCTACCGCGCCATCGCTGGCCTCTGCAAATTCTATAACTTGGTTTTCTGCTGTGCCCTAGGATCCACGTATATTAGCAAGCAAAACAAACACATCGAGCATAAAGCTCAGCAATTTCAGTCTGCATATCTTACCCGTATCCGTCTAAACTTGGGAGCAAACCACACAGTCTTGTTGATATCCCGCGGAACTGCCACCGCGCTGAGATACGCTACTCGAAACGGTCGTGCAAGGCCAGACGAGCGCATGGCTTCGAGACCGAGCATGGTATAATCCTGACAAACCTTGCGCACCTCTTCAGGGTCCATTCGAAATGCGTGAGAAGGTGTCACGCCTACTGTCCAGATACATGCGCCTGCGCCGGCAAAAGCTTCCTTTGACGAGGGGGGATATGTACCATAGTCCGGGACAATGACGTTTTGGAGTTTCGGGGCGGTTTGTTCGAGAGGTCGGCGGGTGACAGCGACAATGCTGGTGACGTCTGAGCGTGCAAGGGCTTGACGGAGGATCCCGGCGCCGATGTAGCCTGTAGCGCCAACTACGATAAGTTTCATGATAGCAGTTAACAGGAATACTTTGCGGGCATGTGACTCTGGATAAAGTTTGATCTGCTTCTAGACTCAGTAGCTTATTGAGTTGATGGTTCTTGATTGTTTGGCTGAAATCAGTTGCTGACATGCATAATCCCAATTGTCAATCTTGTCCGCAAGTCAGCTGACCTATGCATTGCTATAAGCATCCAGGTCTTGCTAGACAAAGAATGACGTCAAACAGAGATTTAGCCAATCCCCGCCAGTTCCAAAAGCTCCTCTGCCTTATCATATTCCCATTATCTCTCCTCTGGTGGTTTCGAGCTCTTGCACCACAACCACAGTACTTATGAAAATTCTTTTGGCATTGACAAGCATCTCTATTCATTGTTTAAACATCTATTTACAGGCTCCCTTCCCACAGGACCTTTGAGAAACACATCGAACGAAGAATCTCCTCATCGAGCAAAACAGCCTGACGAACATGGCACGGCAGGATCTTATTATGCTGAAAATCACGAGCCACATTATTAGCTAGCTCCAATATCTCAGTGAATATATAGCCCAACACTCGACAGATTCCTCTTATTGTATCATCCTTAAAGACCCTGGACTTATCCTGGCTGCGAGACTCGAGAAACTGTCGAAGACGAACGCTGACGTGAGACAAGTCAAAGTCTGAAATCGGGTTTAGGTCAGGCTGAGTGAAGTGTCGATACGACGCAACGTCTAGGCTGATAGGTCTGCTATTCCTTCCATAATCAGGAAATAAGGTCTTGGCCATATCTGCCATACTATCACCTCCAAGATGAGGAAGGATGAAATGTTCGAGATAACTGAGTGCCATCTCGTTAACAAGATTGAATAGTGGCTGCTTCCATGGATCGATGAACCCATGGATAGTTGGTTCTGCGTCATCGGCGGAGGCGTTTTCGCGATAATTTCGCAAAGATTCAATATCTTGTTCTTCCAGAATATATTCGCTTGGGTCGTATGGGCCAAGCTGCTCATTCACTGGCGGCGGGGAAACATATTGACAGGAAAGCATGTCTTGCGCTATATTCATTCCCGAGAAGTCAACCCCTTCACGCAATTGGCGCCTAAACCTCTCCCGGGGCGTCATATATTCTCGCAGCGTTCCTGGAATGCCCATGAAACTTGTCCTTGTGAACTCTGTGCTTGCGGAGAAGAACAGGAATGATCTTGCTGCAGTGTGCGTGTCATTGAATCCAAAGCGACCAAACATGTACTCTCCATGGGGGATGTATAACCAGATTCCATGCTCTGCACAGTTTCGTCGGCTTGGTCGTTGGCCCTGCCCTCGTTGGACCATTTCTTGCGCAACAGACAGATCAACGAGACCAAGGGAGTTGGAGTTTGCCAGCACATCATCATCGCCTTCTTCCTGGCCTTCACCAATCTCATCGAAGCAACGTTTGTCGTAGTAGCTCCAGTCATAACGATTGACCACGAAAACTCCAGCCTGAGAAGTAACGTCGTTGTTCACCGTACTTCCATGATCTGGTTCATAAGGTGACCCAGATATGCGGAGAATCTTATCAACTTCCTGCCTGGGATCGATATCCTCGCGAGCCACGAACCATGCTACTGCATCCCTTGTCTCGGAAGCAACAAGTTTGAAGACATTCCATATCCCGTTTTGTGCGGCAACGTTGTAGTTGACGCTGTGAGCTTGAACTGTGCCACTTGGTTGCGGCGGAGCAACCGGGAGGCCTTGGGAGGGAGCAGAGGAGCCGAACCAAATGTTGTGCAGGGAGCCGAAACAGAGCTGGCCCGAGATGACGGAGAGAGTTGACTGTATTATAGGAGAGTCCGCCATAGTGATTATTCGAAGGCCCTCTCCATTAATAGGAAATATTCGTGGAAACTGAGTATTAGAAGACTCTATTCGTGAATAGGCACCCGGGTAGAATAGTGAGCTGTCTACCTACAGATAGACTGGTGCCTGCCAAGCTGTTATGATCCTAGCAGTTACGTCATGCCACTCCACATTTTCCACCAATTATATAGCGGACTCCACTCATATCAGATTCCCAAAGCTACTTAAATTTTAACTCTTTTACTTTTATACCTATTTTAATATTACAAAAGCTTTTAGGTAGAAGCTTATATAAATAAACTAAATCTTTTATTATCATTCATCACCTATGTTCACAGGCCAAAGCTTAACCTCACAGGGCCCCCCTGCATCTGCGTTTCACTTCTATAATCGCCTCAGCAGTCACATAACTTGTCCATCATGGCCCCGGCTGCGGTGCCACCGGTATAATCCCGAAAGACTGTAAATCCGAAACTTTGAATGTATGGGCCGGCATGCAACTGTGCTCTTTGACCTTCTTTAACGAGTCAGTTTCCGAGCCGTCTGTGGACCTTATAAGGTATGTTTGCCCACATCCCGATGATCTACCATGGGGTTACGTATATCACAGCGAATTAGGAAAGACCTTTTACCAACCTCACGTTGCAACCATCACGCCTCTTTAAGCATAAGACATGTGAAATGTATCCTCCTGCCAAGTACGGCCATTTTCGCATTGCGGAACTTTTTTCACGTAACATTGCCAAGACGGACGGGGGAAAAGACGTGATTTGCAATGGCGGCATAACGGTGTGATGCAACCCCGAGAACGGAAGAGCTAGACATGATAGCCGCTCTTGAAAATGTATAAAGGCAACGGGTTTTCTGGCTTTGTTCTACCTACATCTAACCTCATTCACTTGGCTGTATTTGTCTGTACTGTTAACATGCGTTTTTCTGCTTCAATTACTTTGGGATTGGCTGCTTTGGCCGTGGCTCATCCCGGTGAAGACCACCACGATGAGCTCGAAGCACGTCGCTCCTTCGAAGCCAGTGCTGAGAGACTGTCTCTCCGTCACTGTGCTGAGAAGCTGAAGGCCAGAGGTGTCACTGAGCGTAACATCAAACGTCGTTCCGCCTTGATCGAGGAGCATCGACGAAAGCGTAAGCAATTCTGAGTCCATAACTCGTCTCTTTCTAATGTGGTTTGTCAGGTGGTATCAACAAGCGCGATCTTGAGGACGTGCTCAACACGGACCACAACAAGACCGACCTTGGGTATACACCCAACACTCCAGCCGAGACCCTCTTCGCAGGTCAGAACTCGTGCGTTCTAACCCCCGAGGTCACTCTCGGTCCATATTGTGAGTATTGACCAGCTGTCAAAACGACATACGCTAATAATTACAAGACGTCAGTGGCGAGTCTGTCCGGCGTGATCTGAAAGAGGACCAGGAGGGTGTTGATCTCATTCTCGACTACCAAATCATCGATGTGACTACCTGTGAGCCTGTACCAGAGCTGTACCTCGAGATCTGGCACTGCAACGCGACTGGTGTCTACGGTGGCGTGAATAACCAGGGAAACGGAAACTTTGCCGACAAGGCCAACATTAACAAGACCTTTGGCCGCGGAATCCAGCCAACTGATGAAGATGGTGTCGCCCAGTTTGAGACCCTCTTCCCAGGTCATTATGTTGGCCGTACGACGCACATCCACCTCCTGGCTCATGCAAACGCTACTCTGTACCAGAATAAGACACTTGGAAACGACATCTACAGCAGCCACATTGGTCAGACTTACTTCGACCAAGACCTGATCGATGAAGTCGAAGCCCTTACTCCTTACAACACCAATACGCAGACTCAGACCACCAACGCTGGGGACGGGATTCTAGCCGAGGCTGCCAACCAGGACTACGACCCGGTCGTCGAATGGACCCTTCTGGGTGACAGTGTTGCTGAGGGTGTCTTCGGCTGGCTGGCTTATGGCATCAACATCACTACCACAGAGAAGGTCACACCTGCAGTCTTTAGATATGAGGATGGCGGCCACACCAACCCTGACTTTGGAGGTGGCTTTCCCGGCGGCCCTGGTGGACCCCCGCCACCAGAAGCAAGCACGGAGGAGGATGCCACGAGCAATACTGCTTAAATTCTCGTAATTAAGTGAGATCCTCTACTTCCGGCGGACAGCGGTCGATAGGCAAATAAGAAACTTACCTCTGTTCTACTGTATATCTTCGTACAGGTTATGCTATAGTATCCCCAGGCATAATAGATTAATACAAGATACAAGATGTGTTTTACGATCAATATAAACATTCATAACAGATATCATAAGTAGGTAACTCATAGGTCAATTCTGCTCCCCATTTAACACCAAGCAATATCTGCACCTTCCAAACGGAGAAGGGAGATTTTTGCATGCATTTATAATAGATTGTTACGATTTTAGATCTAGTCATTTATATAAGTAGTAGGTAGTAGCTGCACAGGTGGGATAGCCAACCTCGGTTGTAAGACTCTCTACTGTAACACTTTACGGCATTTTTCAGCTTGGATTACCCTATCGAACGGGACAGAAACATCTGTAGACTTTTGGGACTGAGAATAAGAGATAAGTCCCGAGGGGGGAGATTTAACAAAAGACGCCATTGACAATTATGGAAAGATAAAATAGGCAGACTGAGGAGGGATAATGATTAGATAAAGCTTGGCTTCAAGCGCATCTGGATATTTGTACTAAGAGCGCGGATATCATTGCCGTGTCTATAGAACGCACTCGAACTTCTTTCGCTAGTAGCTCAGTATCACATGATGGGTAGTTATAAACAAGCGGAATGGCTTTGCTAGAACCCCCTTCAAGATCATCTATCTTTCGGTAATGCCATCTATTGGTAGGACCCCTCGCAAAAGTCAATGATTGGTCAAGACATAGTCTCACGCTTAAATTGGTCCAAGGTTCGCCAAACTTAAAAGCTCAGCTAAAACTCGTAAATATCAGCCATTGGCTGTTACCCCGCAGGCTAGGGTCCACTCCGCGGGATTAGACGATATCGTAGAATCGGAACGAGCTGGGTTTTGAAAGGCAATCTAGCCTTTATGGCCAAGGGGAGATTGCAATCTGGATTAGTAGATGGTAGAAGGTGTTATCTGGGTCGAGAGCCTTGGTATCTCTTCATTGTATGTATATAATCCCTGGCCTGTTCGCCAGCAACAGAACTTCAGAGACCCATAGAACTCGAGTCACGAATTGACCAATCTCATTCTTTCTACTTTATTGTATACTTCAACATGGCATCAGATGACAACTCGCCACAGTCCGTGTTGGACTTTGTTCCTGGAACGGTTCTCCTTGTTGACTTTGATGGCACCTTGGATACTCGCCATGCTCAAGGTCATCGGGACATCGTTCTTGTACCAACACCTTCCGATGATCCCGATGATCCCTTGAATTGGAGCCAATGGAGAAAGACTCTGCTCATGGTAACTCTATGCGTGTATGTAAAGCCGCTTACTCGTGAGAATAAAAGTACTTAGCATATTTGATCTACAGGTACTGCCTTGCTGTTGGCATTGCTTCGGCTGCAATTTATTCCGTTCTTGTTCCAATCTCGGCTGCCACTGGCCTTACTGTCGGTGATTTGAACTCTGGAACTGGATACATGTTCTTGGCCTTTGGGTGGGGTTGTCTGATCTCGCAGCCTCTAGCACAAAAGTTCGGTAAACGACCTGTGTATCTTTTGTCCTTACTGGGAACAACTGTAAGCCTACCACTCCTTGCGTGTTTCTGCCCCGACTCATGGTCACCAGGGAATCATGATCTGGGCCCCGCATGCAACGACAAACGGCCAATGGATCGCCAACAAGGTCCTCCAAGGGACATTTGGTGCTCCGATTGAGTCACTCTGCGAGATTTCCGTCTCGGATGTTGTGAGTAACCGACGCAATCGCCTTCCTGACTTAATCTAATCTCGGAATGCAGTACTTTGCCCACGAAAGAGGCACCTTTATTGCTTATTATGCTCTCTTCCTCGCAGGCTCAAACTTTGTTGCACCTGTCATCTCCGGCTTCATCAACGACGGACAAGGTTGGGAATGGGTGCTCGTAAGTACAAACAGTGATACAAGTTCCTCGACTGACTCTTGGGCAGCACTGGTGTGCCATCTTCAACGCAACTGCATTCGTCATTTGCCTGTTCTTCATGGAGGAAACAAAGTATAACCGAAAGGCCACCCCACTGCATCTCAACGATACCGTGGATATCAACAAACCGAATGAACCCTCCAGCGATGGCAAGAAAGAAGTAGAGTCACAGACTAAATCAAATGTCGATGTAGCCAATGGCAGCGTCCTCTCCTCCTCCAACACATTCCTCGACAAAATGAAGATCTTCCGAAGCGAGCATGTTCGAGGCAGCGTTCCTGTAAAGGGTATGCTCATCAGACCCTTCAAGTACTTCTCCTTGCCCATTGTTGTGTTCTGTGGCTTTATGTATGGCGCTGTTGTTTGCTACTTCAATGTCCTTAATGGTACAGCTTCGATCATTCTCTCGGCTCCTCCATACTCATTTAAGCCAAGCTATGTTGGTCTTTGCTACGTCGCCACTATCATTGGAGTCTTTGTTGGGTAGGCATTAACGAAATGTCGCTTACATTAAACATCAGCTAATAGAAGCAGGTCATTCTTCTCTGGCCCAATCGGGGATAGGCTCGTCCTGTACCTGACACGCCGCAACAACGGCATCCGTGAGCCTGAGTACCGCCTCTGGCTTTATGCTGTTCTGCTTGTACTCGTACCTGGTGGACTGCTACTCTGGGGTGTCGGAGCTGCTCACCATATTCACTGGTCAGGACTCTTGATCGCCCTGGGAATATTAGGCGCCGCAATCACTGCAGGCTGTCAGATTCCCATCAGCTACTGTATCGACTGCTACACTGAACTTGGCTCTGACGCCATTGTCACCATCATTCTGATTCGCAACACTATGAGCTTCGCCATTGGCTATGGGTAAGTGACTCGCCGTTCTCCAAACTTTCATCTACTGACCTCTTCAGTGTCACTCCCTGGGTTACAGGAATGGGATATCAGAACGCCTTTCTGGTCGCTGCCTTTGTTACCATGTCGCAGTTCTCTCTTGCTTTTGTATTCATCAAGTATGGTAAGCAACTTCGACGAAGCAGTACTGCGAGTTACTTCAAGTATCTCGAGCAGGTCAAGAACGACGGTCTCATTCATTAGATGGCATCTTGCACCTGCCCTCTAAATCGACTGCTGCTCTAACCATTTCTTTCATATTTGTATTCAACTAGTCACTACTTGTATTGTCAAATCGGGTTACGCGGCACCGCTCCCGAGTCTCCTCCGACTTTTCAACGCTGGATCGCAGGCAATATTTGAATATCTTCTGAGGGGTCGGCCTCTAAAACTGCGAAGTTGGTCAATATGGCGTATAAGGGCCTGGCTTTGTGAATCATAATTGCAGTATACTGTGATCGAGTTGAGTAGGCATGTTGAGACATGAACTCGGCCTCATACCGAGGATCACGAGCCATTCTACCCTGTTTTAGTATTTTAGACTATAGATTGAAAGCATATTACTTCCCAGCTTTTCTCTCTTACACAAGTGTCATTTATCTTCCCTTACTCTGATATTGTATCTATCAATCCGTACCACCAATGAACGAGTCAATATCGTACTACCTATCGAATTTTAGAACTTTGCTATGTGCGTAGAAATAACACATCAAACCGTCTGCCGTGTTTGTGAGATTCTTCTTACTCAGCGGTTTGATAAGCACTGTTGTGCCCAGTCTCGAGGCTTCTATGGAAGATGTGGCCATGGTACGAGGAGGATTGACACAACGAAAACCCTGTGTTCTAGACGTAGAGATAAGAGCAAGAAAAAATGAGAGAGGATTGCCAAAATACAGAGGGGTATTAATTCTAGTTCTCGACCTTGAGAAGTAGGGTAATAGCTTGCGACATTTAAGAGCTTAGATAGATCCAATAAATTCAATCCATAGTCTTAATTATTGTGCAACTGAATGGCATTAGTATACTATACCATTTAACATAGGTAACACTTGGTAGAAACCCAACATGTGGTGTGACGAAGTGTGAGGCTGAGTAACTGACTGTTTCGCTACTCTGTGTACCATTGGTTAGACTGCTTCAGTGGTTCATGGTGAAAGATAACTTCAGCTGGGTAAGGCTCAGATAATAAAATGATTTTAAGCTCTCTGGTAGAGAACAAGGAGCCTGCATTGTTGGCGGTGAACAATGCATCACTGGCCAAAGAATCACGAATGTTCCTGCGACTATAAATAGCCGTGTTACCCCTATGTAAACTGGGAATCTCGACTCATTAAATCTACAATACTAAACAATAATCTCATACTATCTGCAATATCACCAATTATCACAGGTCATCACAATGTGTGTGCAATGCAGAGAGCTAGTAATATGCATAGACTGCAAAGGTTTGACAATTACAAGGAACAACGTGACCCCGTGTGCGGCGTCAGGAGGCATAGTTGGGTTATGCAGAAAACCGATTGAGGTGATTGATACTGAGATCAAAAAGGAGTGCGAAAAGTGTAAGGAGAAGAGAAGGAAGAAGAAGAATAAGAAGTGATCGACTAGGAGTAGATATATCTTTGTTCGTTCTGCCGTAAAGATGAACAAGACTGCAGGCATAATGCAATAAAATTATAAAGTGAAGTGTCGTTATTCTCCCATGAACTTGCATAAAATGAGCCCTTTCCAGCTCTGAGAATACGTTTTAATTTGTAACATCAATTTCAAGTCTATTAAGCATATAAATACAAAGTTCAGTACTATCTTCTTCTAACTTCCAGCTGGGTATATGGATCAGTGGCACTCAAGAAGCCAAGCTGCATAGGCTTTCCCAAGCACCCATCCTTCAATCTAAGGTCGTATTTGAGTATGATGTGAGCCAGGCAAAGCTTCAACTCGCTGCCAGCAAAGAACCTCCCAGGGCACAGGTGCTTGCCCATGCCGAACTGGGCATGCTCTGGGCTTGACTGCACGAACAAGCTTGTATTGTCACCAGCTTGTCGACGCTTATAAAAGCGCCAAGCATCAAACTCTTCGGGGTTCTCAAATTTGGCGGGGTCGTACATTTCCCGAGAATCGATGGCGACGTGGGTTCCTTTCTCAAGAAGAGTGCCGTCGGGAAGCCGGGTGTCGCGGATGACCAATCTCTCCAATATCACTTAAATGAGTTAGTATGTGCGAAATGCCACTGGGAAAAAACCTACCTAGCGAGGGGATTTGTCTCTGGGTTTCCTTCATGAAACTATCGAGTAACTGCATTTTGACGAGCGACGTAGCGGTAAAGTCGTGATCCGGTGCGGCGTCCTCAATCTCTCGTCTCAGATGTTCAACAACATCAGGGCGACGAGCAAGCTCAATGAGAATCTGTCGAAACAGCTCTGAAGTGGTAAACAGGGCGGCCATGGCTAGGGCAAGCTGAACATCTGCAGGCTCAAACTCGTTTCCGAGTGGCGATTCAAGAGTCCAAGCAAGGGCATCGTAGTAAGCGGGAGCCTCCTCTCCGTTGAGCTTCGCCTGCTGTTCCTCTTGTCGTCTTTTCTGAACGACCTTGTTCACCATCTCACGCGCTCGCTTCAAACCAGCACGGCAGGCTGAGGCACCGGGAAGATACCAGACAACCAGCCATCTCAACCACGAGGGCCACAAATGCATTTCCCCAACAGCTCCAAAGTAATCTAGAACATAAGCCCTCGACACCTTTTGCCATTCAGGGTCAGCAGCGAGTTCCGGTCCGACAAAAATGGATGCAGCTGCACGCGAAATAACTCCAGTAGTTCCATCTTCCCAGTTGAGCGTCTTCCAAGACCTGTCGTCTCCCCAAATTTCAGACAAACCTGTCTTGATGTGTTCATTCATGATAGGCAGAGTCTTGTCAGTTTTGGACAGCTTTCCCTGGACCATGTTGATGACCATCCTATTCGGGTGATGCAAGACATGCTGAACGTCGAAACCAGGGTAGCTAGCAAAGTATTCGTCTCTGACGAGTTGCTGATGGTCTAGGTCTTTGTTGTTCTTGGCCCAGCTGACGCAAGAAGGTGGCAGAATTGTCTTGATACCATTTGGGACCAAGATGGTAAACGGGCTGTCGCCATGCTGGACAGCGCCATCTTTGAGTAGCTTTTTGGCGTTGGTCTTGTACTCGTGATTCGCCTGATGGTGGAGGAAGTCTTTGGAGTATTTGTTGATAACCGGGAATTTTGGCTTCTTGTTGGCAAAGATGATAGCCCCGATAAGAATGGCTATTATTGAGACACCAAGTCCCAACGGAGAGGAAAGGAAAGCCATTGATTACTATTAGAAATATTGAGAAAGGTTGAATGAGAAGTATAACAGAAATCTAAGGACTTATCATTCAATATTTAAGTCATTGAGATATTTGCGCTGCACCGTCATCGAGGTCATTTCAGATGGACTCAAAGCGGAACCTCAACAGTACAAATCTCGCATGAGTCCTCGCCAGAAACGAATTTCGCGCTCGGATATAAGGACGGTGTCATCTTGGTTATGCTGACATTCTGATTGGCCCGGCGCTATCTCGTTTCCGAAAAACAGTGGCGAGGCGTGTCACGGCGTGGAGTTAGCGTAGAGTACAGGCCCAGTTCTTTGACGGAAGAGGAAATTTATGGAAGTGAGTCATCTTGACTCATGGAGGCCCTGATTAGTGCTTGTCTTTAGTCTATGTGTGTTAAAAAAATGGCTTGCATGACACTCTCATTTCGTAAGTTCGACTTGTTGCAGTATATAATATTCGGTCAGGGATTAGGTTAGGCCTGCTGTGTTATTCGCTGCTGCTACATGTTTTGAGACCTTATTCCAGCCAGCAAAGAAAACCTAGAACTTGGCAGTTTATCAGATAATGCCCCCCTCCAGAAAAACCTCAGGCCTCCTCCACGAGTTGCGAGATGAGATCGAACATCACCAATTCATACAAGACGGTATGAGCATCTCCTTGGCCAAATGGCTGCCAATTCTGGCCTGCCAAAAACTCTGACATTACCTCTGTTCCGCGCATTCTCCAAAAGTCTCGCGCCATCGACACGACCAGCCCAACTCCGCTATCCAGATATGGTGAGGGACAGCTTTGAGCCCCCGGGAAGATCGTCTTGTAAATACGCTCCCAGCGCCGTTTGTCGGATAGTTGAGGATTGTCTTTCTGGGAGAGTCTGCTTCTCTGGTAAAAATTGATGCCGTCTGGTATCTTGAGAGTCTCGGTTCTGCATCTTTTCTCCAGGATATGCCTGTCGCATTTCGACACGTTACCAAAAGTCTTTGAGCATCTGGGGCAGTAGGGCGGCTTAGCGTGGTGCCGCTTCACATGCCGTTTTACACTCTTAATTGAGTGGAGTTCGTGATCAATCAGACAAGCGAGATATTTCTTAGGATTTGAACCGTGAAAGGGACATCGGTACCTGGTGGGACCTCTTACTCGCGGTATAATAACAAAGGAATCTTCAATCGCGCGGCCCTTGTTATCGCAACTTATATTGACGTTCATTGGAAGCTCCCACCCGTTTTCATTCCGCCATTCATGTTGTGTTTGTTCGTGGTGAGATGGCTCGGTGTATGCTTGGGAGAGAAACTCATCAAGCTGTGCACGAGCTACTGGTAGTAAATGCTGTCTTGCAATTTGAATCCTGGGGTCATAAAGCAATGCGCTATTTTTCCATTCCGTAGACTTGTCCTCACAACAAGATTCATCACCTGAGCTTTCACTGGCGCCGTCGTAGGTATTTTCTCTGTACCCAATGTCGCGATCCCGAGAGCCGTGTCGGTGGTGTTGGGGCCGACATATTCTTGCTCCATTGGCATTGTGCGTGGAAGGCTGGGAAGGCCTTAGTGGGAGCGTTTGCATTAATGCAGATCGTCGGGGGCGAAGGCGAAGAATGCCCATGACGACTGTTAATGGGTGCAGAGAGTGTGAACTAATGTGGAATGTTTGTGACAGCTGAGAATTTAATACACTGTGATTGGAAGATGAAATTCTTGTTAGGTGCTCGAAGTTCGTTACGATGTGGACGGTGTTTCGACTGTTCTTATACAGTAGAGCCTCATTCAATGACCCCCGCTTGAGCCGCATGGTTGCGACAAAATCTCACAGTTGTGTAGGTGGTAGAGCCGCAAGTTTTGAGCGGCGGCGAATGAAAGCGGTATTCCTCTCTCCCGTTTCCTACGGGCGGAGCCTCAATTTACTAGGGGCGGTCTGAGAGACACTGCGCAATTGCGAAAGTCAGCCACCAACTCGACATCCTTGCATCAACAGAGCCTTATTATCTCATGCTTATCATGAGATGCTCATGCATTTTACTTGTTCTGGTGTCACTTTTCTCGGTCACCAAGCAGTATGCGATGGTGAAAAACTCACTGTTTTTCACATTCAACTGGTGCACTATTGTTTTGGGCACCATTGGGCGCTTTTGGTCAAATCGCTCTCCAATACAGCCGATGCTCACATCAGGCACCTGACCCGCTGTCCAATACGGTAGTAATTTCAGGCCTCATTAACTTCAAATTCTATTTCTTACTGGACGTGTTTCGACAGATGTGTCATATTGGATCCCCGTCGTAATAAAACCCAAAAACGCCATTTTGGCTTGACTACATGTGCAGGATACTCAAAGTCAGGCATTCAGCTATGTGAGCCTAAATTACAAAAATCCATAAAACAGCGATAGCCTGCATAACAAATATCATTCATTCTAAAATATGTCCACTGTTGTCAAACTCTTCAAAATAATCTCCGTCATCTGAGTAGTGCGTCAACTGACGAAAAACTTCATCATCAAAGGACACAAGAGGTTCTTCCAAGGGCTGAGGCCAAAGTATACCATGCAAGATGTATCCAAAAGGTCCTGCTTCCATGGCTGGAATGTATAGTTGGTCAGGTAAATCGCCAGTAGTGGGCCTAAAGGGCTCCATGACATCTGGCCAAGTCTCCGAATCCTGAATAGTTGGCATGTCTTGGGCCAACGGTATTTGTGCCGGCGTCAAAGGCGCCAACACAGCCTGGGACTCTCCCTGTGCAGGTGAATTGGGGGTAGGAATCGGGTTCCGTAACAGCTCTAGTATAGCGGCGATAGTGGCAGCGGCATTATTACCTTCCGGTCTAGCCAAGGCATCGCGACGGAACGACTGTAAAATAGTCGGCAGTTCTCTCTCCATAGTGCTCTGTTGCACTTCCAGCATACAGTCGACAGTTTCGAAAAATGGCGAATAGGGAGCTGTATGTTCTCCAAACAGCTTCTTCCATGCTTTATACCATTTTTCTTCATGAGAACCATGCAAACCGTTAAGGGCTTCATACTCAACTTCAAGAAGTAGCCCGGTTTCTAGAGCTGTCTCTTCGATGCAAGTATCTTGTTGGATATGCTCGTTCTTTTCGGTCTCAGCGTCCTCGCCGCAAAATTCTTCGCGGCATTTGGGGCAATGCTCTCCTTCGATGAGGTGCTGCCGTTTGAGGTGCTGCAGAAGGCGATCCCACTCGGTTATTTTGCACCCAGCGCAGCATTGGTATTTGCCCGGATCAAGCTTGAAAAATAGACAAGCAAGCTTTTTGGTAAAAGGCTGGTGGGAACCAAAGCCTCTTTTCTTTTTGCCTGGGCTTTGTCCATTTCCCTTGCTGCCTTTGCCATTGCTCCGGTCATTGTTCTCCCGCCCAGATCCCTTTTTCTTTCGGCCAGATTGATTGGCAGAGCCTGGCGAGCCAGCCCGCTTATCGCCGGTGCTCGGTGCTTCTGACCCGTACGATTCCTGCGTTGGACAGTAGAGAATCCACCAGTGACAGTGTCTGTGCTTCCCCGGGAATAGTAGCACAACATTGGCTCCATCGTTATAGTGTCGGGTAGCCGCACTGATTTCGCCTGTAGATGGCAAGGGTAAAGCTTTGTCTTGAACGTTGGTAGCTACTTGTTGGTTTTTATTCTTGTTTGGCCCCTCTGGCTTATAAAAATCGACAAGACTCAGAATGTAGAGATGCTGGATCAAAAGCTGCAGTTTTATCGGCAACTTTCTCTGTTTCGGCGCAATTGAGTAGTAGCTGGAATCTTGAAGCACCAGACCAACACCATATTCTTGGTGGATCTGGAGCCCACTTGGTGTAACGGTAATGGTGCTCATTGTGAAAACAAGGCTGTGGGCAAATCGATGACAGAAATAAGATTGCTCAAACAAGGAATTGTTCTCGTTGTGAAACTCTGTTTGATAATAGGTTTGAAGAGTTAAAGCTATCACAAGTGAAAAATGAATTCTTTGTTAAGCATTCCAAGTCAATTGTCTTAGTCGGGATCTAACGAGTCCACCACCAATATCCCCCAACACCATTGTGTTGACAAGGCGGCCAAGGCACCCAAAATGAAATCTAGAATAGCAGTAATTATTCTTCAGTTTCAGCAGTCTTTCAGCTGTGTCAATGCAAAGCAACGTGTCTGCTGCGATGGTGGGGGAGGGGTGAAAATTGTACGGCATTATAATTGGCTATATCCGACTAAGCTGCAGTAGCGGCTTCAACACAGATGTGTGAAGGAGGGTCGGAGCAACACATTTGTGTCCATATCAAAGCCCCAAGACATGCGATTGGCCGATCCGCCTTGCATCGAAGGTGGCTTTCGAGAAGGCCTACCAGGAACTAGAGCGTATGAGGCTGTTAAGAAACTGCCATTTTTAAGGAGTCACTGTACAATGAGCCTAAGTTGTAGCTTTGCGTCATCTGTCATTCCACCTGGTGATTTCTTGAACACAATTGTGTCAAGTTCCTTCACTCAATGTGCCTTTTTGCAGTAACCGCTAGACCGTGAACAATTACTACGTAGCCAGGACTATTTTTCCCGAATCAAAGACCAAGGAATTCTGTTATACCATTGACACAAAAGCGGAGAGACGGAAAGGTTAACTAAAGGCCAGGAGTAAAGGCAGCAAAGAGTCTAAATGTTGTTATTAAATAGAGATCCCAGTGTTTAATCACAAGGAATTAGCCAAGGGACTCCAGAAAGCTTAAGACCTCTATCCTCAATTATGAACATGCTTAGGTAAATTTATGTAAATTTATGATAAATCAGTATATCCTTTATCATTTCTTCAAGCACCTGCTCATTATAGTGACTCAGATACGCTGACGCTAAAGCCACTCCCTGCAGCGCTGAAACCCCTCTCTATTGGTGCGAACTGCTAGTAAGCGTGTTACGAACACTGAAGGACGTCACTTATGTTTATCCATTTTTCACCATGCATCCCATGTTTGGTACATCATCGACCCGATTGACGTTACTGTTTGTGATATTCTGGATGAGCCTGGTGGAGTCAAAGGCTTTGTGAGAATGCTTGACCAGACCGCTATGAAGGAATCCGCATCAATACGCCAGCTGTGTTTCACTGCAGTCCTGTTCGGAGGAATAATCGTCGACTCGACAGGGCTAGAGTTCATGGCAGCTCAGAACTCATTCGCATGGCTCCAGCTAACTCAGCCACTGGAGGGAAGCGAGGGGTCAGAGAGTGACATGACTTTTGCAACCTCGGCAGTGAGCTCAGAACACTTTACAACACAACATTCTATGACCTCTGTATTTGACTCGGAATTTGAATCAGACCTTTCAACGCCCGTAACGCCATTTCCAACGGACGACACAAGATCACAGACACTCAACTTCGCAGAAGCCCTTCATCGTATCCAAGTAGTGGATCATGGAGCAGAGGCAACCAGCTACAACGCTGAAACGCAGCCCCAGTACTGTTCTCTTGATATGCTTTCGAATACAGGGCTTCCATTGAGACAGAGAACCATAAATGAAGACGAAGTTTTCATGCTCTTTGGTGCCTCAGAGACTTCCAGCTTTCATGAACGGGACTCAACGGACAGTTTGTCAAGCAGAGAAGCGGCCAAGCCTTCTTCCACGTTGCTACTTACGTACGGAAATGGTGAGATGACAGGCTCAGTATTTATTTATCCGCTGACTGTGATGCAGGCGGTCATTTCGAACCACCCAAGTTAATCGAACAAGATCAACCGTCCTGGACGAAACAATCCATACCTCTAACTCCACCTGAGACGTGCATCGGCGATGAAGACGGGAGTCCTTGCATCTCGGTGACTGAGACCGATGATTCCAGTGTAGAGGATATTGAAGAAAGAAAAGCCTTTGCTTGCCCGTATCTCAGGCTCGATGCAGTGCGCCATATCGACTGTTTAAGTCGCAGGCTCTATCGCATTCAAGATGTGAAGCAGCATCTTTCTCGCCGCCATTATACTAAGCGAGATAGGACAAAAAACATTTCTGACAATATAAAAGGAGTAAACACAAGGACTCAGAGAGTTCTGAAACTCCGCTTAGATAGAAGATTGTCACCAGAAAAGCAGTGGCAAGAGATATGGAAAACTCTGTTTGACCGGGCATTGCCAATTGAAGGGCCCTATCTCGGGGACTCTAAGGAAGAAATCGTTGGGAGTATGATTGCGATATGTAAGAAGGGAAGCAGCCGAGTTGTTCCAGGGATATTGAGAAGCCTAGGCCTTTCCAGCGAGAAAGGAAAATCTGTTCAACAGTTGATGGAAAAGCTTTTTAGTGGTTTTCAAGAATTATCAGATGAGCGATCGAACGACGGTGATATGGAGGAGACGGAGAAGCCTTCGACATGCGGTGGCCTTGATTCGATACCACTGACACCAAAAGATATGGACTTTGAGTTTGACTTTAACCTACCACTACAGAGATCACCCTTGCCGGAGATTCAAAATTCTTGCTCTGGTATTGACATGACGCAGATACAGGAATCCAACACGGTAATATCGACCGGATTGCCAGAATACGCCACTTTTGAGGAGAACGGCGAGGAGGACATGTTGACGAGATATCTACCTACAAAGCTCCTGGAGGCAAATGGCCAAGTGAACCCTCCCTGCACAGCTAGCAACAGTGATTCGTACCCGACGTCACTGAAGGGCTCCAGGTGGGAGTATGCATGGGAATGCGATTACTGCGGCTTTGAATACATCTTTGAGCCCAGCGGAGCCGGCAGTGATATGAGGTGTTTCAATTACCCATGCCTAGGCCAGTTTCGCGGCAACTTTTGCTCATTTTACAAGGTGCATATGTGAAGGGGATACTTTTGGGTGTCTGCTATGCAGAAAGGCTTGATAAGGGAGTTACTTGCTGTTTAAATTCCAAGGACACAAGGAGTTACGACTTGTGGCATGTATTGCTGCGTTTCTCAATACGATAGGTAAATCCTGAAAGCACGGGTCAGGAGAAGAGGTTGAAGACTTTTACGGTAGCAAACAGCTTATGGGAGAAGCAAACTAATGTTATAATTTGCAATTCTTCAGGAGCGAGGTCAGTCAAAGCTTTGTGAAAGTGCTCGCAGAACGGTAGCTGAGAGCGTAAATCTGCAGAGAGAGATTAAAAAGGTTATACATAACTCACAGCGTGTGAGGCGCGTTATGTGACCATCAGCTATAGGGTCTATCAACTCAAAATAACACTTGTCAAAGTCAGTTCAGGCAGTCAGCTAGATGTGTTATTTGCAGTTGAGACTTGTGGCTGAGAGCTTATTCCAGCAGACAGAACTTAGTTCAGGTAGTCAACCAGTTGCCTACACAATTGCCCAAGACAAGCTTTTCAGCTCATCCAATGATGATCGATAACTTCACAGCGTGGCAAGTTCTGAAATCTTATTATCTGACTACATAAATATCCGGAGGCTTCTCCCCATCTCCATTCTCAACCTTACTTTTCTCAACATCGCTCGCTATGGCCAAGTTTCAGGATCTGCCCGTCGAGCTCGCACTGGCGATCATGAAATATGCCGACACCCCACAGGACATCTTCGCAATGATCCGCGCCGATCATTGGTTGCTACACTGCTTTCTCGACAACAGGAAGCAATTGATGACGCCACGTGCGGCCAAGATTATGGAAGTTTGTGGGGGTCTTTTCTCAACTGCCTACTTGCTCGCTGCTCGACTCCGCCATGCCAAGCAGGACCCTAGGTTCAATGATCCAAGGCCACCGCATCGTGAATCCATCGTCAAGTTGATTATATAGTCTTGCATCGACAGCCTCAATACTCATCAACAGGTATCCCATCGGGCCTCCCTCGGAACCATCTGCGCGCTTTCGACTCTTGCCGTTGATATTGGATGGCTAACATCGAGCTATATGGCCCAGGCGCGTGAACAATTATTTAAGTATCATAGACGCCCAGAAGACTGGCCTGAAGTTTCCTCCAAGGAGCACCTAAGGTTTATCAACGTTGCCTGTCGGTTCGAGAGCTATGCTCAGGCTTTCTTCCACGCTGGACAGCCCTTATTTCCGAGGAACCTGAATATCCGCTGCCTTCTCTTCTCTCCAAGCATTTGTAGTGCCGAAAGTGAGTATAATGCGACGCGTACTTTCTACTCCATTGCTTACTACATTTACGACCAACATTGCACCATGATGAAGAACATAATGAGCTCTCTAGGAGTCAAAGAAACATGCCTTGTGGGTGGAAGGACTTAAGATCGGCGAAAGTTGCGACTGCAAAACTGCAAACAGATCGAGGTGAATAAGTACGTACACTACCTCACAACGCAAGGCCTGGGCATGCTCCTCCAGCTTCAGAGCATGACGCTTCAGGACCAGCTACACTTTGTGCTATGGAGATTTGAGAGCATCCTGGACAGTTCATCCCCCAATATTCTCATGGTTGAAGGCATTGAACTATACAGGATTGGAACGGTCGAGAAGCATAGCTGGAATCCATGGGTCCATTGTGAGGACGTGTTCGAAATGGACTCTGAGGAATGGAAAACGGCAGATGCATTCTGGGATAGCGGTTGAAGCTCTCGTTGGGGCATTCGATAGTTCTTCTGGGTTATGTTTGAGCCTTCAAAAGAGGCGTCAGCCAGCCAAGGCGCACAATTATTCACTGGTGGGTTTTGAAAATAAATTATGTAACAAATAAGAGTAAGTTTTCCGTATCACATATAACCCAGTCATAAACCTCGACGGCAAATTACCTCTGGATCACGAACGCTATGGCCAACGAGCCCGCCATTCCTCCTGGCCTTACGGCCCCTACACTCAGAGTCTCAGACAAACCTGGTGTACTTATAGTCGCCCAGTGTCAGGGCTCAAGCTAGAGATTACATGCTCACGCCAATAATCAATACCCGCAATCATAGCACCAGGTCCAGCCAGCCCCAAAGCACCAACGCAGGCCAAGCCTCCCAGCACAGCCTGCTTTGTTTGCACAAAGCCGAGTGAGCGCAGTTCCCAGACTGCGTACAAAGAGTATGCTAGGCCCGAGGCTGCACTTATGACACCTACGTTTGTACCGAAAGGCACTAGTTGAGAAATGGCTGACAGCGTCCCGTTGGTTGATACACTCTTGGCGATGAAGGGAGCAGCTAAACAGAGAGCAAGCGAACAGCCATGAGATAACTCGAGGGGCGCTACATCCTCGTTTGTGTACACTTGAAGTTCAGACGGTGGAGCATAGTTGATTGGCCTCTCGTCGACCTTCGTGTCAGCTTCCTGTTGTCCACTGTTGGCAGTCTTGGCACGGATAGCAGTGAGTCCTCTGGTGAAGACAGCACAAAGAAAAGGGTATGCCTGCCATACTGTTCCGACGTAGTGCCTCAGTTTGGCATCTCTGATCGGCAACAGCGCCGCGGCCGTTGGTGCGACGTAACCTAGGACAATGCCTGGAACGATGGACTTGGCGATCTTGGGGTCGACCGGTCTGTGGACTGTGGACTTGGTAGAGAAGAGTACAGACGACAGACAAAAGAATGGCAGCACTGAGCTCGGGCCGATGAGTGAGTATATGAGTGAGTATACCGTGGTCCTGTTCAAGGTTAGTGATTGTGCTGATATCATGATTATGGTGTTGACACGAACCACGACAAAGGGTTCAAAGAGTTTCCACGGCGAGAGCCTTCGATGAGCCACGAAGAAAGAACGGGGGTCAAGTTGACGAGGCTGGTTAAGGGGGCCTGGCCGATTGCCTGTCCCAAAAGGCCTCCCGCACCCCATCGCTGAAGTACGCTGAAGAGAGCCCCCGTTCCGGATCCAAAATCCTTGTTCTTGAGCCCTGCAAAGAGCGACAGTCCAAGAGTGCCAGCTGCCAGAACCCACGGGACTCGTCTGGCAAGACTGCCTTTGATTGGCTTCGCAGGTAACTCGTCCTCAAACGGGACAAAGTGGGGTCGTCTCGGAACAGGAATACCCTGGATCCTTGTAGCTTCGCAGCAAATCGGGGTGACGATGTCAATGAAAGCGTCCGGGCCAAAGAGAGAAATAAGATGCTTGAAGATGAAGCGAGCGAATGGGAACCTCTGGCTTATCATCATCTGAAGAGAATGTGCTTGCTCGACTAGACCCTTGGCACGCTCGTAGCGGAGGGTGTGGACCTCTGAGAGTGCAGAGTCGATCTGAGAGTCTGAAAGGCCCTGGGGGCTCAGCTTGAGCTGACGGACCAATGCGTTGACGAGCAGTGCTGCAGACTCCATTGCTCCGTTGCCGCCTTGGCCAGATGCCGGGTCAATCTATAAGACAGTTAGTTATGCAGCATGGGGATGCAATGGCTGACATACCTTGTGAGCCGAATCTCCTATCGTGACGATGCGTCTGTAGTGCCAACGATCGAAGACGTACTCCTCAAGTGGAACCAGCGTCGACATGATCTTTCGGTCATACAACTCGCCAAAAATGACGTCTTGGGTGATATGATCGCCATGGTGTTCCTTTACGAGTCCCTCTTCATCGGCTTTTGTGTATTTCGAAATGTCCTTCCCCCGTTTTGTCTCTGGAAGACCATCGAAGAGAAACCAGTACGTTCGGTCCCCTGGTGCTGCTATGATTAGGTACGCGTGGCCATCACCAACCACCATCTGTTGACTTCGATAACCCAGAGCAGAGGGCCGTTTCGAAATGCCAAAGATGCATCTCGTCGAGACTGGAACTCCTATAGTACATGTTAGCGGTGAAGACGACGGTTTGTAGTAGTACGTACGAGAGTTTTCGTCTTCGGGGAAGTAGCCAGGACTCTGTTCCTTTCCAAGGCGCCACATTTCGTCTCTTACAGCGCTGTGGATGCCATCCGCTCCCACGACAATGTCGCCCTCGTACACGGACCCGTCTTGAGTGTAAGCTTGGACTCCACCCTCAACCAATTCCACGCGAGTAACCCGCTTCTTGGTCAACACTCGATCCTTATGTTTCAGATTCTTGTACAGAACCTGCAGCAACATCTGTCGATCGATGAAAATGGAGGGATACCCAACCCTTGTCTCGAGGTTAGTAAAGCTAGACTCCTGGGATTTCATGTTCAGCGTATTCTTACCTTTTCTCAAAGTGAACCGAGAGGCTGGTCGTTGAACTAGGGGTAAGTGGAAGACCATCAGACCCATACATGCCCCCAATCGTATAGCGGCAATCCCCAGCAATGTCGAGGATAGGCTCGAAACAGCCAAGTTGATCGAGGATGCGAAAGCCATTGGGTAGGATACCGATGCTAGCACCGACTTGGGGAGCTATCTGAGGATATGCTTCGAGGAGGACATAATCTATGTCGAATTGCTCCAGCATGTTGGCGACAGAGAGGCCAGCGACGCTGCCACCAACGATGATGACTTTGAATCCCATATTTACGACTCGTCGAGGTGTTTAGTTCTTGATGACTTGAATGTTCACTTTAAAACGGCATGAGATCAGTATATATACATAGTGATCGAGGCGCAGAGGCCTCGTTAATGGGTTTTCGGGTTTGTTTGTATCCGTTGCCCGAAAAAAGATCGACATAAACAAGGGCCCGAGACTCAATCGTCCAAGACCGAGCAAGGAAATTACGCAACCAGGTTTCCACTTTGACCTTACTAAGCGGAGATACCAACATATGCATTAAATTACGAGCATTGGGTTGCCACAAATGACAGTCTACAACTGTATCTGCCTTCTCTAAACAGTCTTTAAGCGCTACCGTATGAGCAGCCCATTCGTTATCTTCCGATCTCAAGTTGCGGTGCTTGAAATAGCCAAACTTTCCTTAACTTGACCAGACAAGGAAAAATCGCCGGCACTTAGCCTACACTAGCTCCATTTTGGAATGATCTGCTCCAGTCCCACTGGGAATCGAATTTGTCTGTGGCCATTCGCGATTTGTTTACCCATATGTGTAGTTATGTATAAGGGCTTACAGCTTAGGAATCGTACCATTTACGCGTCGCATCTACAAACAAACAATATCGCCCATAATGAATATACAAAGAGGACCTTTTATACTTAGTTACATCTCATTGAATTTATGGCCATGGTGCTTAATTCACAATGAAACATACAATCAACGATAGAATCCATGCACCTCCCCGGACCATTAGCGTATTGGCAACTCTGCCCTGCATAAAGTTCACCACTATCTACAAAGGCACCTTGACTGCTCCAATCTGTATGAGTATTCCAAATAGATCAGGTAGCCCCTGCTCTTTAACAATCTTCCCCTCCGAGAACGTAAAGAGATTCATTCCAACTATTTCGAAGCTTTTTCCAGAGGGCGGGAACCCCATGAATGGACCAGTCTGGGTACCACGAGTTTTAGAACGCAGCACCACTGTATCTCCTTCTGTGATTATCTGCTCGACGCTCCACTGGATGTCAGGAAAGGCTGCGCGCATCATGCCTAGCATTTCTAGATATCCACTGACGCCCTTCAAGGGCTTGCTTTCGAAAGGAACGTGGAATTCGGCTGATTCATGGATGACTTCATTGCCAATAGCGGCATCTGCTGAGTTGATGAAATCGACGAATCGATGAATGGCTTGTGAGTGAGGCATGGCTATGTCGTTGGAAAGCTTCTTAGACCGTTGGGTGCAAGGAAGAACGTTATAGGGATTTGTCTTGGTGTATGGATAAACTAAGTGATGCTTTTGTAATTTAATATCTATTTACTCTCTGATCTTATATAACTCTTTTCGGAAGCCTATCTGCGTAAGTATTTACATTTTGTGCTGGTGACTAAGCGGGCCTAGCTCTCTTGTGGTGCACGGCCTACAAGCCATGATGTTCAAGCGGGATTAGCAAACCCCCGATCCGCCGACTCCCTAATGAGCGAGGTTTGAAGCTAACTCAAGATGTCATAAACGCGTTTCGCGCATTGCATTCGTATTCATTCCACTTGGCAAAACTCTCGCCAAGATTGTCCCGAGGGCTTGCGTGTAAGTTGCTCTCACCTTTAACCTGCGTTAGAGGTTGCTCGAGCTTTAGAAGGACTGCACACGCCGTCGGGGACAGCAAATCCCGCAAGGCCGCTTAGATACTGAAATTTTTGTATAACAAAGGCTTACAACCAGATCATAGGAAGGGTCCCCCGTCCAACAGCTTCCGTCCAGGGAAGGACAGTCATAGATACTGGTTCCAGTCAGAGATAGGGCTTCGAAGCAGCCAAGCACATCATCAAGCTTTGGGCTACTAGGCTGATTATAGCGGTGTCTTGACTGGGAAGGGTGAAGCCGCCGGACGGTCCTCACAGAATCTACGCGCTGTGTTCAACTAAAGGTTCTTCTTTGGTTTTCTCTCCTTTCCTCATAATATTGTAATATAAACCTAGCTCGCATCCGTGGGAAGAAAAGAGGATAAATGTTGTGTTAAAAACTTCTGATATATATAACGCCGTGTGCAGCGACAGCGATGGGTCGCGGACGGATTTGTTGAAGGTCTGCTGCGTGTCTTTAGTGAGGAGAAGGAATGGATAGCTGCTGACCAGAATATCCATCGACATACTTGTCTACGCCTGTTCCGGAACACCGTGCAATTCGCAAAGTGAACCACAGCCCAAAGGCATGCGCTATAGATAGTAGAAAAGTGCGTAGGTAATTAAAAGATCCGAGTATCTTATCCTAAAGGCAAATTGGCCTACCAAACGGTTAGGTCATAGAGCACAAACGACGGCCAGCGCCAAGGGCTTTGGATCAGGTGATACATTTACAGCTTCTGGACCTTGCAATGGAAATTGCTGAGCAGTGTTATGATCTGGACCCATAAGGGCGCTTAACTCCTCCAGCGGATTGATTGGTGGCCTCATTTGCGGGGTTTTGACGCCGTAAAGGATGGACATATTTGTTGATTAATTTGATCTAGGTTCTTAAATTACTTCTGTATATTACGAAACGACGTCTTCTTGAGAATTATAAAACATAACTAAATACAGATAACCAGAGTTCTATAGTCCACCTAGAAGAAATGCAATCTAGTGAACAGTCTGACATTGCGGAGGAGGCAGAGCGTCTATTCAATATGGAGAGTCTCTGGGCTAAGGCTTTTGAGATGATCCAAGACGACGACGATCATTCTCAGCTTCTCGACAAGTTTGAAGCTTATCTGCAAAAGGAAAAAGATGGTATATGCCCAAGGATGCAAATTGCTATGGAGATTCCGACTGATGATAGATGGCAGAGAAGAGATGTCTGGTAGTTCTCAGGATGTTCATAGGCTCAAACAGATTCAGAAGCTGGCTGAGAAGAAACTAGAGTAACTACCAAAAAATCGAACATCCTTCTCAATCGGTGGGAGACGAATCACTATCCGAGAAGCTGCCCAAAAGGTCATCCGAACGATTACACAATTCAAAGTTCTAATTAGTGGAGCAGTCTCAGCTGAACCTCATGCGGCTTTGGCATGGGCTTGTATCCTGGGCGTTTTACCCGTGAGTTCTAGGCAATTGTACCGTTGCCTGTGGGCCTCAATGATGATATGCAATACTAAAAAATCCTCGTTAGATTCTGGAAAGTATATTTCAACAGGACGAAGCTGCAGCAGACGGACTCGGTAAGATTGTGTTTTTGCTTGTCCGGTACCAAGTTATCCAGGACACAATCCTATCACGTCACTATGGAGATGGAAGGTAAGATTTAACTTTCAACTCCTAGTCTAATCCTAGGCGAAGCTCTGATGTTTCAAGGCAAACCGACAACATCCAGCGATTAACCGCCAATATCGAAAGCAAATTGGTAAGCATTTATGCAAAGGTCTATATATACCAAATTCAATTTGTGTTGCAATACGGACGCAGTAAATGGCGCCGAAATCTGGGAGGTTTTTTCAAGCCCGAAGACTGGAAACAAAAGTGGAACGAAATTGATTCTGCCCGGCAGCTTGTCGACCAAAGCATCCAGGACCGAGTCTCTGCTAAGACGCTAGACGCATGGGAGGCAATAAGAAATATCCAAGCAGAATGTACGGAAACCTTGGAGGTGGTGCACGATATCAAGGCTACGAGCCAGGAGATTCAAAACGAGCAAATGTCTACCAAGGAGGTAAGAAATCATGATCTCAGCACGCCATTACTGTACTGACGTGTTGAATTTTTCTACTAACAGAGGGACTTACTGCTTTCATTACCCATTGCTTCAAATGCTATCTTTGATTCGACTGATGTTCTTGGAGCTGGAAACCCGTGTCTCGAAGGTACTCAAAGGGCCATTCTTACCGAGATACATGAGTGGGCCGGGGATCCCACAGCCGAAATGATATTTTGGCTTCATGGCCTCGCCGGAACTGGGAAGTCGACCGTTGCTTTGACTGTTGCAGATGCCTTAAAACAAAGGAGGTCATTTACAAAAGGTATTGACGCACCTGTAAGACCATTCCTTGGCACCAGCTTCTTTTTCAAGCAGGGCGATGTTTCAAGAAATAATATCCAGGCCTTCTTTCCTACTATAGCTGCGTGTCTCGCAGAAGTGTTTCCAGATTTCAAAACCCTAGTCGCTAAAGCGATCGAAAAGAACTTAGCAATCGGAACAAAAGCCCCGCAGCAGCAGCTTGAGACCCTGATCGCTAAACATTTCTCGGCCTTGGATGAGCCTTCACTGGTACCGCTACGATTGATCGTTGTTGTGGACGCTCTCGACGAGTGCCTTATTCAAAGCGAAGCCGTGAATCTGGTTACCATGTTAGTTGGGCAGCTGAAAGACCTCCACCGTGTTCAGCTTTGTTTTCTCATTACCAGCAGAACTGAGAAACACATTCTGAATAGCTTTGAGCAGTTGCCTCAAAATCTTCATCGCTCGGTGCTTCTCGACAAGATTAAAGGATTTGAAGAGGGAGATAACACCAAAGACGACATTATGTTGTATCTTACCTACACTCTCGCGCAACTCGCAAACAACCACGGTGTGCCAAAAGGCTGTATAGCTAAAAGCACGATCAAGGACTTGAGAGATAAGTCTGACGGTCTATTCATCTATGCGGCAACTGCATGTCGATTTTTAGATGCCGAGGACTTTGATGATGAAGAGGCCAGACAAGAGTGTCTCGATCTGGTTTTAGAAAGCACTCCTGGCAGTGGTGAGCCTGGAGGCAGCGACTCAGACATGGATGAATGGGAATCCGAGTCTCCTCAGAACAAGATTGATGAGATCTATCGCAAGGTTTTGTCGTTTCCAGATCGTGAGAAGATGTCTCCAAGGACAAAGCAAAGGATATACAATGATTTATGTATGATCCTTGGCTTTCTCGTGGTCTTATTCAAACCTGCTGCTATTCCGGCTTTGAAGAAATTCCTTCCCTCCCTGGCCCAGAGCCTAGATCGGCTGTTGAAGAAACTCCACGCCATCGTCTCCGTCCCTTGGAACGAATCGGCTCCTCTTGAATTGGTTCATCAATCCTTCCGAGACTTTATCTTAAGCAGGAGGCGATCTAAGAAGCTCAACTTTCAAGTTCAGGAAAGCAAAATGCACAAAGAAGCTTTCGTTCGTTGTCTTGACATCATGTCATCAGAGCTTCACGAGGACATCTGCGAATTACGGTTGCCGGGAATCCAGCAGTCAGAAATACCACAAGACAGAGTAACAGAGAAGATCCAGCAACATTTACGATACGCGTGTCGATACTGGGTCGACCATCTTTCAAAGTTGAGTGACGGGGATCGACGCAGTGTTGGACTTGTGGATGGTGGAAATGTCCTCAAGTTTCTTGAAACTCATTTCTTACATTGGCTCGAGGCCATGGTTCTTGTCGAAGATACCGCTTCAGCTGTCCCTTTGCTCGATAAACTACAGCTTCTAGTCCAAGTAAGTCATCCTCTAATAATTTCAGTAACAGTTATTCATTATATCCAGCCCTCGAAATGTCCAGATTTGTCTTCTTCAATCTCCTATTTCAAGCACTTCATACTACTAGGCAACATATATGTTATCGACGAAACGCCATTACAGATATATGTATTTGCAACAACTTTCAGCCTGAGGGATAGCAAAGCACGGTCACTATTCGAAGCTCACACGCCTTGTTGGATTTCACAGCTGCCAAAGGTGGAAGGACAATGGACTTCAAAAATTTCTGATCTGATTGGACATTCTGAGAAAATAATATGTGCAGCTTTCTCTCCGGCTTCTGATCTAGTCCTCACAGTATCACTTGATCGAACAGCCAGGCTCTGGGACACGGTCACAGGAGCTCAGCGCTACATATTTGAAAAAGCAGATCCCGGTGCATATACCTGTGGTGCCTTCTCATCGGGTGGGAGGTCTATTGGACTAGGGACACGTTCTGGAAGGGTTGAGGTAAAGAAGCTCCTTGATGAAAGGACAGTTCAACTGGGAGTTCATAAAAAGTGCGTCGAGAATCTTAACTTCTCACCAAAAAGCAGCGATATCTTTGCTTCAACATCCAAGGAGGGGGACCTCAGAATATGGAACGTTGATAGCAGGTGTGCGGAGCATATCTTGCGCATCTGCGACCCTTATGGCACGAACGAACCTCCTTCTCCCGAAGATCTTGACCCCATGAAGCTTCTTTGTCAGTTTACGACCGATGGCAGATTTCTGATAGTAGCGGGGACTTCTGTCAGTATGACCATGTGGAATGTGGAGAGCGGAGAGTGCATCAAGGTATTCGGCGGTGCCGACACAACCTTCGTTATGGATCTGAAAATTTCCCCAGATGGAAATAGTGCAATAATCCTCCAAACACCTTTGATCCGGAGGGCTGGGACTGGATAAGAAATTCACAGCGAGACTACCGATGATGTGAATGCCGTAGTAAGGTTCGTTACGATCAACAATGACATGGGCAGTCGCACTGTCACTATCATCAACTTGGCGACAGAAGAAATTGAATTTTACTCCAATGAAGACGAAAGCACTCAATGGATCTCGATAACGACACAAAACGCGAATCACATCTTGGTAGGACGTCATGATGCCATCGAATTACTTGATATCAAGGCCTTGTCAAAGGTCATACTATTTAAAATCCCTTACCCCCAGACGTATTTTGCACAATCTTGGGACGGCAGGATTGTCGCTACACGAAATCAAGATTGCGCTGACCTGTCACTCTGGGACATGCCATCCGATTCAACAGGACACCGACTTCCAGAGGCCGATGTTCAACGTATCGACTCGATGGAGCTTTCTCCGGATAATAGTCTAGTGCGCATTTCCCGGCTTGGGCCAGAGGCGTGCGAGATATATGACTCGGCTGGCAACCGACTAGCTCTTCCCATTGATACAGTAGAGTCAATCTGCTTTTCACATGATGGAAGTTATATTGCGTTGGGGTTGAGCAGTGGGATATGCCAGTTGTGGGATAAGACCATGACTGCTCAAATACACCCTTTCAAGCAATGGCAGAAGATCATCTTCTCGTCAAGCGGTAAATGTATCGCGCTTGTTTCGACTACGGGGGGATAGAGGTAGTGGACATGACGACTTTGCGGCAGATAATGGTGTGCGAAATGACATCCGACATGGATGTTGGCGATATCGAGCTTTCACCCGATGGTCGAACTATTGGCATCTCATATACCGACTTCGTGGTTGGAAACGCTTCGATCGAGTTGTGGAGCGTGACGTCTACGGAGAGAGTTTGGAGGGAGTCTTCTCCAAGACGTGTTGATTGCTTCAGTTTCAAGTTCTCACCAGATAGTAGATTCTTCGCTTCCTGTTGGGGTGGTCGTCAGATTAATGATCCTGGTTTATGGACTATTATGGACCTCTCCACATTGGAGGAAAGAATGGCGGAATACAGTCCCTTATTGGCGTTTCATCCTAAATGCCAACGCTTCGCGATGCTGAACTTCACCGAGGATGGGTACGGGTATGTCGAGGTTAGGGAAACTTCTTCTATGAGCTTGGTATGCAAGATTGAGCATTACGCTGAAGAGACCGCATGGATGGCTTTCACGCCAAGCGGAAGGCTTGTATTGTCGGAGGCTAGAGATGGTGATGAGTCGGAGCCGACAGTCTGGATGTGGGACATTGAAAAGGGATCTGAGGTTGGCTCTTATACTATTGATGGAATTATTGACACTTTCTGGATCTCAGAGGACGGATGCCTGAATTGCTCAAACGGTCGACTTCCTCTACCCTCATTCCGCCTTGATCAAGAGGACAAAGATCTAGACAAAATAACGCATGATCAGGCTCTTCTATTTTTGGGACAGGAATGGATCTATCGAGGACTGGAGAAGATAATGCGGCTTCCTCCCGCATTTGCATCATCGAAATCAGTCCTGAATGGCAACACCCTTGCTATGGCTTACAGAGATCGGGACCTAAGAGTTATAAAGTTTGACCTAGATAAGATGCCAGTATAGTAGGTTTATCGGAGGCAAATCAATATCCCCAGCTTATAGATAATGCCTTTAGCAAAATGGCAAAGAGTCTACATTAAGCACGTTTCTTCAAGCCCGAGTATATTTCCTATAAGCCCTATGGGCCTGATACAATTGAAGTCACCAAGTTTTCATTGAGCTCAACATGACTCTTGCTTTGACCACGGCTAGCTATTGTACTTGCATCTCAGTATTGCTGCCTAAGGTAAGTGTTCTGTGAGCTTGGACGAAAAGCCGAAGGGTCATCGTTTACCCACTTCAGGATCTCGCGAATGGTGCAAAGTGGATCGTTTACAAAGCGGCCATAAAGCGAAATGAGTGTGGAGTGCGCAAAGCAACGGGAGCTCCCGCCGGGGACACGGCGAGCGGATAATTGTTGTATGTACTCTGTACGGAGTACAGTAGACCACTTGGGAAAAGCAAAAACGTTTCGGCAATTGGTTGAGCCGTAGGGATCATCTGCAGGCGCCTACTGTTGGAGAGGCAAAAATGCTCCAGACGACTAGCTAGGTCATATAGGGTAGAATCATATCATATTATGGAGAGCTCAGGAGAATTTTAGTGACCTTTTATTTCAGTCAACTTGGGGGAAATCTGGAGCCATTTTGTTGCCGCAATGAAGTTCCTGGCATTAGCTCCAATATCCACTACTACTGCACCACCGACAACTAACTAATCTTATTCAGGATCCTTGCATCTCATTCATTGGATTTGCACACCAAGAATTCTTACCTCTTTCCTCCTTTCTGGTGATGTTCTTTTGACCGGCAAGAACTCCGGTCTCTCTCGAGGTAACCAGTCATATTAGCAATCAAGCCAATGTAACTACGAGATCTACAATACGAGCTCAGCTCGCTATCACCCTTGTCAACTAAAGAGACAATGTTGAAAATTCAAGGCGAAATGCATGGTCTTGGCAAGAAAATCTAGGTATCAGGCCACAATGCATAATCATGATTCATGTACCATCCCAGCACCATCACTAGACCTTAACAAATCGCAAGGTGACTAACAAAAAAAACAAGATTTTGAATCTTTGAGGTTGGTGATTTGATCTGAGGCTTGAAAATAAGGCCTTCCACCTCGGAAAGAACTACTGCTGTATCACCGTGTCATCACACCGATCCAATTCGCCTTGGTCTGTCACTCCGTTGCACAAGCACAAAGCCTCAAGTTTGTGGCCATCGACGATCACCTCGGTCAATACGACGTTGTACTATGGCAAGGATTGATATCGATTTCTGTACGCCGATGAAAGCCATATTGCATGTTGCAGATCTTGGAGGAGCTGAAACATGTAGCGATAATCTAGGTAGTGATCTCCAAGAAATAAGATAGTCGACCAAGTGGCTGAACCGGTGCTGTTACCCTATTGGATCCCTTTGACAGGTAACGAGTAGTAGGGATATCGACTGCAGACTATCAGACCGAGTCAAGCCTGACTGACAAATCGTGAGGCTGGTGGGCATTTGGAGTGGTAATACAAACTCCGTAAAAATACGGAACTACTAATCAAAGTATGTAAAGCGCAGATCCCTCTTGTTTTCACCTCCCTCAGCGATTCCCCTTCGTAAACCAAGCCTTTTATGAACATGCGCCTCTGAGACATCCCAACGGGCCCTTGGCTCGCTACCCGAGGCAGGGGTAAAAAAAAGCATGTCAGTATTGCCACAGCACGTTTTGATAGAAATGTCTTGTAATTTTTGGGGCTACTGCTGCGGCACATGCATACAATCCGCTTTCTGTTCTGGACCAACATGGCCTGTTTGGGGTTCATCTCCCCTGTAAGCGTTACGAGAGCGCTTTACCACGTTGAGGAGCGATCTTCACCAGGAAAAAGGAAAGGCAGAAAATACTTCAGTGCGCTGTGCTAAAGTCAGACGCCAGATGTAACACTCTCTGCCCTCGTTTTGGCCCTTGCGTTCTTCTCCGCATAACACTCATCAGCTAATTCTGCCCTTTTGGTATTTTCGTCCCATGAGAAGCACTGATCATCGGCGTCAAGCCACCGGGCTGAGACTTCCGGCAATTGGGCCCAATTAAAACCGTAGTCTCAGCCCTCCCTACCGGGCTTTCGGCAATAAGACATTCACTTAATGGGTGAGACTCTGCAGGCTAGACTTGCTCTTTTGTCGATCAATGCAGAACTGCAGCCAAGACAATCAAGCCAGGAACACGCGTGGCGGTCTCGGTCTAGGACATTGTTTGCGGGTCGTAAAAAAGAAGTAATTATGCCAAGTTTACTGCGGGTTAAAACCCCCCCCCAATTCGTGGTGGCTGCATATTGGGCTGCGGCCCCGTTTTGGCTTTCAGCCAAGGACCGGGAGGGGAGAGCAAATGAGGGCGCTTGATGCGGGTGCTTGGAGTTGTCGTTGACGACGTGGCTAACGCGAGACCCTTGTGCCTCACAAGAGCAATCCACTACACTCAACGTTTTATGCTGTGCGTTTCCAAGACTTCAGCTTTCGAGAGTGTCATTTTTCTCATGCATTGCTTGTAGACGTACGTCGTGGATCGACTGCAAGATTCGGAACCGCGCCTGGATCCATGACAATGCTACGTCTTAGTCACGTGGCAAAGGTCCGAAGCCAATGCCGTGTCACAATGCAATTTTCTTGTTTCTTCAATGAATCCTGCTGAGCTCATTTTGCTGTTCATTCAATACTGCAACTTCTCTGTCCTATTCTTAGCTGAAATTGGATTTGATGCCCTGAATCCCCATAGTGCGGGCGCTAACCAGAGATACCGGGGCTATCCGTTGGCCTGAAAATTGACGAGCGGACCCTCGCCCTACAATTCTAAAATACCAAGCGGGCATCGGCAGTTAGAGTCGTACTGTTACGCAAAAAGTATATTGAAACAATGCAACCATCCCTGTCAGAAATTGAGGCGTGACAACGAGGAAACAAACATGATCTGAGCAGGGAAAACATGGGTCTCTCTCCCTTGTCCCGGCCAGGTACCGAGTGGATGATGAAGATCACAGGCCAAGGGAGGAAGAGTTGAGCCCCACTGACAGACCGGTGCAGTGATCGCCCCGAGTTCCGCTGCCCAAAGTCTATGGGCTGGACTCAGCTGAGATGTGTGATGCGGAATATCGTCACGTAGCATTACGGCTTAGAGTAATCTCGTACAGTCAGGGAGACGGGCGCTTGATCAGGGAACTTGACGATTCTGGTGTGAAGCGTCAAGTATAAAGAGGCCATCATCCTCCCTCTTGGACTCAAAATCCTCATCAACACTCATCAGCATCTTCAACACCTTCAAACACTTTACACTCCCAAAACCAACACTTTCAACTCAACTCCATTCAAAATGCAGTTCACCAAGATCGCCTCCGTCCTCGCCATGGCCGCCGCTGCCATCGCTGCTCCCGCTCCCGGCAACTACGAGGTCGAGCCTCGCACTGGCGGTAGCAACAATGGCAACAACCAGCCTGCCTGCTCTGCTCAGAGCCAGAACGTTTGCTGCAACGGTCTCGGCTGTCTCGTCCAGGTTCTTGGTGCCGGTTGCTCCACCACCTCTTACTGCTGCGAGTCTGATGCCCCTCTGGCCGTGGTAAGTAGCCCAGAAAAGGGAGAACAAGATCCAATACTGACTGTTTTCAGGGCGCCCTCATCAACATCAACGCCCTCAACTGTGTCAAGATTCTCTAATTGACACGCCTCGGCGACTTGACCTACTCTATGGAGTAACTAGTTGGATTGTTGGATACTAGGGCACATATGGTGGGAGGATCTGACGGAGAAAGCCTATGCCAGCTACTCCGTATGTCAATAGGCAGTGTTGATGTTTGCATTTACTTCGATGACCTTAATCTGAGGTTGAATATACATACAGGGGTTATACTTTAGTTTTTTAGTTTTTTTTTTTTGATTGACTGTGAACGGTAATGACAGCAACAAACCATTAGATCACATGAACTGCCCTCAGACAAGGATACAGCTGAGTCAATTAACCAACAGTCCACTTCCGAGCAACTTCGACTCTACTCATCATACTCTCGTAAACTTGTACTCAATGGGGTCAATGCCGGTACCGGATGCTGCGGAGTTCATAACTCAATCACACAATGTAACCCAGGGATCCCTGACAATCGGCCCATCCATAACCGTTGAAGAAACAACTTAAATTAGTTTTAACTACAGCTCTGACCTATAGGAGCAGGTGCACGTTTTGAAAACTGTTGAGGTCATATCCATGCTCGAATAAATCGTTCCAGGCTGTGTCGATGCTTGGCGTAGGATACTCCTGACGAGGCGGTGGATTCTGACTTTTGACTCCAAACCATGACATGAACTCTGTGTCAATCTCCCCTTCGGCATGTGACGTGTTGTCGAAAATTGCCAACGTTGCATTGCCCAATCTCCGTATGATCTGGGTGCTCCTCTCGCCAACCTTTTTGCCGTGTGATATTTTGGACAAGAGTCTCACGCAAGTTTCAATATTGGCCTCGACGACTTCTCTTGTGAGTTCAAGACGGACCACGGAACTCGCTCTGATAGAGTACAGCATCGTCACAGCAGCCATGAATAGCGAGTCCAGCGCCACAAACGTATAGATTATCTTGTTCTTCGCGTATAGAGCATTGTAGCAGCTAATAAGGCTTATGGATGAATCGGCGCATAGGCGAATGGCGTCTGCGCTGCTCACCGGCGATGCATGAGATGGTCGGTGGAGGTTGATGACGGCTTGGTGATAGGCGATTTGGAACCACTCTGGCGTTTGGTACATCGACAGTGGCGCAAGGTACCTCGGGGCCGAGAGAAGCCACGCGTTGAGACGGGTGTAGTGCTGTTGGCGTATGGAGTCGAGGTTTCGGCCTTGAAGGTTTATGCCGCCTGCTGAGTGGAGGGCGGAGTAGATTCCCGCGTTGATCTGGCGCAGTTCGACGATGTGACGGAATGCAGACATGTCTCTGACGTCAGGCAGGATATTCGCTATGGCTTGATCTGCAGGCCCGGCAATTTGCTCATCGGTGA